TTTCAAAATCGTTTTTTCCCCCTTATAAAACAGCTGCATTCGTATTGAAAAACCCTTTCCAACGGTGCCTCTTTCATGCCTCTATGTCAAGTCTAAGCCGAGTTATTGAAGTTTTTGTGGAAAAGGTTAACAAATAAGAAAATATAAAAGTGAGTTGAAACTTGCTGCCCAGAAATCAGAAGTTTTAGAGTAGTGTTTAAAAACTGCTTTAACTTATAAAGTATTTAAAAAAGACCCTTGAAACTATATATTTTTGGATTCAGGGCAACAAGCTTTAACCGAATAAACATAAACAGTACATTGATGTAAAGAATGAATGAATATGTGGATCACCTTACTAATTTTCATCAAAACGATTGGTTTATTACGTAATTAATATAATAGTTGATCATCCTAGCTAATTATCAAGGATACCATTGAGCTGACAGGTTGGCTGGATCCACTGTCACTACCGAAGGTCAGCCTATGGATCATGCTGATATTATCAATGCCCTCAGAGAAATGGGAAGGATAGAGGACTTTGGTGGCAGTGAATCCACATCACTCGCCAGAATGGCAGACTTGGGAATTAAGATCGGCACAGCAAAAAACGAGACGCACACCAGAAGACTTGTTAATCAACATAGAACTGGTACTATTAGCCATCGGACGTTGGGGTTCATACTGAGGGGAGGATCTGAGCACATATGGACATGACCGGAGTGCAATGATGATAACCCAACTAACTAACTAACTAACTAACTAACTTACTAACCATTGAAAAAAAAAGATTTACACAAGAGCTGCGCTTGGACCATAATATGTTGTCCCCGAAATCCGAACGTGACCGTATAATGCAAGGCTGCCAATACTTGGGTTTCCCCCAAGATCGAGTTTTTAAATGAGGCCTTGAGTTCAAATTTTGGAATTTTAGATTTAAAAAATATATATCCTTGTATAAAAGTTGGTACATATTTTGTTTCGTAATAATAATATGGTTAGTTAGTTAGTCTTTCCTCTTGTGTCGAGTGCGGCACATAGGGCAGAGGTCATGACTCTCCATGTATGGCAGTTCGTTGCAATCTGTTGTAGGTCTTGGATGTTTGAGTGGCCCATGAGCGAGCCTTCCCTGATGATGTAATAATATTGTAATATTTGGTAATCTGGTAATATATTAATATTAATTCAACACGGGTGTAACCCACAAGTGCTCCATTCTTCTTGTAACTCAAGCCTGAGTCTGAAGAATCTAAGCACAGTGCACAAACTCCGTTGCACCGGCAACAATACATTTTGATTTGTGTGTGTGTCAAACTTGTGTTTGTTGTTGCTTATGTATTGCTGTCAGTTTAGCTTGGGCTTTCCTATAAATCTAATTGGCAGCCCTGGTCTGATGCAAGAGCAAGATGGTGGAAGAGTCTCGGTTGATGTCTGGTGGTTGCGCATCCTCTCCTCGAATCTTGCCAGTAGTTCCAGAATTTTACACGGTCAGTCTGTATGTCCATGTCCTCGAATCTTGTCAGCAGTTCCAGAACTTTACACGGTCAGTCTGTATGTCCCTCTCCTCGAATCTTGCCAATAGTTCCAGAACTTTACACGGTCAGTCTGTATGTCCCTCTCCTCAAATCTTGCCAATAGTTCCAGAACTTTACACGGTCAGTCTGCATGTCCATGTCCTCGAATCTTGTCAGTAGTTCCAGAACTTTACACGGTCAGTCTGTATGTCCCTCTCCTCAAATCTTGCCAATAGTTCCAGAACTTTACACGGTCAGTCTGCATGTCCATGTCCTCGAATCTTGCCAATAGTTCCAGAACTTTACACGGTCAGTCTGTATGTCCCTCTCCTCAAATCTTGCCAGTAGTTCCAGAACTTTACACGGTCAGTCTGTATGTCCCTCTCCTCAAATCTTGCCAATAGTTCCAGAACTTTACACGGTCAGTCTGTATGTCCCTCTCCTCAAATCTTGCCAATAGTTCCAGAACTTTACACGGTCAGTCTGCATGTCCTTTCCTCAGATTGTGCCAGCAGTACCAGATCTTTACATTACATGTCATGGTCTGTCTGTATGTCCATGTCCTCAAATCTTGCCAGTAGTTCCTTATCTTTATACTGTCAGTCTGTTAGGAAAATTCTAGCAGTTTCAGTCTTTCCTTGGTGCTTAGTGTACTGTTACCATTAACTGTAACAACTAACAAGGTATGAATATGTTTACTAATTAGTTACAAGTACATTTATTCCATCTGGTTTCATGTTTATTGGGGGGGGGGGGTGGGGGGGGGGGGGGGGGGGGGGGGCATGGTCTCGAGGTATAGTGTCCGCCTTGAGTGCTAGAGGTCCTGAGTTTATTTTCTGTTCACGTGGACTTCTATAATTTCCTCTTGTCTCTGGGTAATGAGATCGGACGTCCTTGTTTATTGTTGCGCACGTAAAAAATCCCTTGGCAGTTAGATATAAAAAAAAGTAAGTTGAACTTAGATTGGCAGTTCTGTCCTGATCACATGGCAGTTCTGTCCCGTCTGATCACCTGGCTGCTATAGTATCACTGATAAACTACAGATAATAATATGGCTCCCAGGAGGTGACATCTGGGATATTTCTTCTGCCTTTCTAACTCTCAATGGAGTATCAGTCCTCAACCAACTCAGGCCAGGAGGTGACACCTGGGATATTTCTTGTGCCTTTCTAACTCTCAATGGAGTATCAGTCCTCAACCAACTCAGGCCAGGAGGTGACATCTGGGATATTTCTTCTGCCTTTCTAACTCTCAATGGAGTATCAGTCCTCAACCAACTCAGGCCAGGAGGTGACATCTGGGATATTTCTTGTGCCTTTCTAACCCTCAATGGAGTATCAGTCCTCAACCAACTCAGGCCAAGTGGTTCTGTCCTTCACTGTCGCATGCAGCTCTCCCTGTGTCACCCCCCCCCCCCCCCAGCCTTTTCTTTTTTAAATTCCACTCTCTAGCTTCCTTCTCCATGTTTTTGGTCTTCCTTTATTCCAATGCGCCTGTGGGTACCAATGCAAAGACATTCTAGTTATACTGTTCTCAGGCTTTCTGAATGTGTGTCCTATCCAATGCCAGCCTCTTTCCTTCACCTCTTTTTGCACTGGAGCTTGCTTAGTTCTCTCCCAAAGTTCTACATTTGTGATTCTTCATACCATTTAATTTCCTCTGTTCTGTGCAGGCACCAGTTAATGAATATTTTTAGTTAATTAACAATTGTCTTAACAATTTGTTCTGCATGTTTCCGCCCCATACAATAGTACTGATTTGACATTAGAATTAAACATTTTAAGCTTAGTATTTCTTTTGACCTCCACAAATTCCCTAATGCTATGAAAGCTCCTCTTGCCTTTTGTATTCATATTTTAATATCTCTATCAGTTCCTCCATCTTTATCTACATACAGCTCAAATAGGTGTACGACTCCATTTCTTGGAGTGGGGTGCCATTAAGAGAAACCACATTACTATTTGCCTGATTTATTCTCATTATCTTTGTCTTTCCTTTTTAGATTTTCAGACCAAGCTACTGTGATATGGCATCAAGCATATTTAATTTATCTTGCATCTGATTCCGTGAATTGGACAGAAGAGCAATATCATCAGCGAAGTCCAGATCATCAAGTAGGGGTCCACTGAATTCTGTTCTTGGTATTAGCAGTTGCTGTTTTCATAACCCAGTCTATTGCCAGTAAAAATAGGAGAGGTGACAGAAGACATCCCTGTCGCACACCTGTTTGTAATTTCAATTGTAAGTTAGCTTTCCCTTAAAAAGAACTCAACATTTCATGTCTTTATGTGTTGCCTTTACCAAGTTAATACCTTTCTGTGGGATTCTAGAGTGCCCCATTAATTCCCATAGACATTCCCTATCAGTGATGTCAAAAGCTTTTTCATAATCTATTAATCCAATGTAAAGTGGTGAATTCAGTTCAATGCTTTACTCTGTAATTTTTTTTTTGTTGTTGAGAATTTGTTTCTGAGAAGTTGGGACATTTCAGTCTAGAATTTGTCACTCAGTAATGAAATAGGGACATTTCAGTCCAGAATTTGTCACTCAGTAATGAAATAGGGACATTTCAGTCTAAAATTTGTCACTCAGTAATGAAATAGGGACATTTCAGTCTAGAATTTGTCACTCAGTAATGAAATAGGGACATTTCAGTCTAGAATTTGTTACTCAGTAATGAAATAGGGATGTGTGTCTGCCTAGAATTTGTCACTGAGTAATGAAATAGGGACATTTCAGTCTAGAATTTGTCACTCAGTAATGAAATAGGGACATTTCAGTCTAGAATTCGTCACTCAGTAATGAAATAGGGATGTGTTTCTCCCTAGAATTTGTTACTCAGAAATGAAATAGGGATGTGTTTCTGCCTAGCATGTGTCACTCATTAATGAAATAGGGATGTGTTTCTCCCTAGAATTTGTCACTCAGTAATGAAATAGGGATGTGTTTCTTGAAATAGGGATGTGTTTCTCCCTAGAATTTGTCACTCAATAATGAAATAGGAATGTGTTTCTGCCTAGAATGTGTCACTCATTAATGAAATAGGGAAATTTCTGCCTAGAATTTGTCACTCAGAAATGAAATAGGGACATTTCTGCCTAGAATTTGTCACTCAGAAATGAAATAGGGACATTTCAGTCTTAAATTAGTTCCTCAGAAATGTATGGACATTCCTAGATTGTAGCAATTTTGGACAGCAAGGTTATACTTGATGAGTCGTAAAGTGCTCCATGTAATTATTCTGTAGGGTTGAACAGGTATATGTTGATGAGGAGAATGACTAAGACTATAGCATATGAGACTTGAGTGTATGTCACTGTGAATGCCACCACATGCCTCTCATATGTGGCACAAGAGTTTGAGTAATCATTGACTTTATTGCAAATTACATAAGACATTTCGTCTTCACTGGTTGCTTCTTGCTAATTTCAGGCAATATCACATAGAATAGATAAATAACATTGAAGAGGTAACTGCACGTGTGGCTCAGATTGTAGAACCGCAGTCATGTCCAACCCAGGAGACTGGACAGCTGTCATCATGGCAGGGGGATCTGGTTCCAGGATGACGGACCTCACCAACCAATGTCCTAAAGCTCTGCTTCCTGTTGGACGCTTCCCCATGATTTGGTACCCCATTCGCTCTTTAGAAAAGGCTGGCTTTTCAGGTATGTGAATTACTGTATATTTTTGGTAACATCTAATCTCCCTGTGTCTGTCTGTCTCTTTGTCTCACTGTCTGTCTCTTTGTTTCACTGTCTGTCTCTTTGTATGACTGTCTGTCTCTTTGTATCTGTCTCATAATGGTACAGTTTTATCTCAAAGTACTCCAAACAACTTTCTCCAGTTGATTAAATCCATTCCTATGAACAGCAAGCGACTAAGTTTATGACATTTGCCTAGACCTAGCATAGCTTTATTTAAAACAAGTTTAGCATATTCTGATGCTCAATTGTGGAACCATCTTCCACTCGATCTGGAAAATACAAAGAGTTCCACAAAATTTTTTTCAGTTCAGGCTTACAAGTGATTATATGCCACTGTCAATGTAATTATTAGCCCATACTGCATGATCAGTTTATAATTCAATAAGTTGTGTATGTATATGTGCAGGCATATTTGTGTATGTATGATGCATGGGTAATTGTATTTGATTTTATGGGTCTGTGTGTGTGTTTCTGACAGCGTGTGTGCGTGTGACTGTGTATGTATGTGTTTCTGTGTGTGTGTGTGTGTCTTTGTGTGTGTGTGTGTTTGTCTGTGTGAGTCTACTTGTGTGTGTTTGTCTGTGTGTGCATGTGTCTCTGTGTGTGTCAGTTTGTGTTTGTCTCTGATATTTAACACTGATGTATATGTGTATCAGTTGGTCTTATATGTGTATCAGTTGGTCTTATATGTGTATCAGTTGGTCTTATATGTGTATCAGTTGGTCTTATATGTGTATCAGTTGGTCTTATATGTGTATCAGTTGGTCTCCCCTAACCTGATGTTTGACACATTGATGTGTATGTGTATCAGTTGGTCTCCCCTAACCTGATGTTTGACACATTGATGTGTATGTGTATCAGTTGGTCTCCCCTAACCTGACGTTTGACACATTGATGTATATGTGTATAAGTTGGTCTCCCCTAACCTGATGTTTGACACATTGATGTGTATGTGTATCAGTTGGTCTTATATGTGTATCAATTGGTCTCCCCTAACCTGATGTTTGACACATTAATGTATATGTGAATGAGTTGGTCTCCCCTAACCTGATGTTTGACACATTGATTTATATGTGTATCAGTTGGTATTATGTGTGTATCAATTGGTCTCCCCTAACCTGATGTTTGACACATTGCAGACATTATCATCATCACCAGGCAGAGCTGGCAGGATCAGATCCACAGCGCGCTGTCTGTGGATACAGGATCCATCGGAGCCCGGCTGGAGATGGTGGGAATCCCCGACTCAGAGGATTGGGGCACAGCGGACTCTCTGCGTCACATCGCTGACAGGATCAGGGTAATATTCTTATGTCCATCTTCCACTGAGTTCCATATTTGTTTCCATTCTCAGATTGAAATTGGTATAACATTTTAGGTCACTGTTATTCCAGTTCCTGAATATGTTATGACACTTACTGGCAAGGTTACAACATGTTCTGACTCATTTGTGACATTTCATAACAAAAGATAACATAGAATACATGTAGTGAATCTCATTTTCTCCCAGTTAATTTATGCCCGACAGATGACGTCAGTAATAAATGTGAGTGGAATATTTTGACTCTACCTGGGATGACACGGGAATTGTGAGTCTAAACTTCAAACTAGTCAAACTTTGCGTGAAGTATAATTATTCACGTGAAGAGAAGTGCTGGCAGTCGAACTTCATGCGAAGTACGATGAATCACGGAGAATTCTGGAAAAACGAAGCAGGGCATTAGAAGGCGATATAATACCATAGAAAGGGCTGAGGGACAGTCTCGTTTGGGTCCAGGAACAGAGTGCATGGACAACGATGGAAGATGTGTGGATTCAACATGTGTTGAGTGAATTTGTTCCAGTCCAACTTGGCAAAAAAGCTGGCAGGCAAGATGTCCGCGGGCCTTGTTAGTTTTTCTGTCAGGACAGCTGTTGTGTTTTCGTTCATTATGATAGTGTAGGATGATTGTGATTTCGGACAAAAGGTAATGATGGATACTTTTGATATTTGAGTTATAATGTGTGCCTGGACAGTAGTCTATTTCATGTGCCGGCTGTGTAAGCCGCGAGTAGAAGATTAAAGTGCTGAACAGTATCGTGTTGTTTTTCCAGTCGTCCATTTTCTGCTCGTCGTGTGATGTCGGTATGAGAGATAGACAGCGTGCGATGATGCGAGCCAGATAGAAGATAAAGGAGAGTCATCGCAATACACATAGAACTATAGACAACATGTAGCAGTTGTACACATAGAACTATAGACAACATGTAGCAGTTGTACACATAGAACTATAGATAACATGTAGCAGTTGTACAAATAGAACTATAGATAACATGTAACAGTTGTACACATAGAACTATAGACAACATGTAGCAGTTGTACACATATAACTGTAGATAACATGTAGCAGTTGTACACATAGAACTGTAGATAACATGTAGCAGTTGTACATATAGAACTGTAGATAACATGTAGCAGTTGTACACATAGAACTGTAGATAACGTAACAGTTGTACACATAGAACTGTAGATAACATGTAGCAGTTGTACACATAGAACTGTAGATAACATGTAGCAGTTGTACACATAAAACTAAAGACAACATGTAGCAATTGTACAAATAGAACTATAGCAACATGTAGCAGTTGTACACATAGAACTATAGATGTTTTGCAGCAATGACATTCACTGTTATAGATAACCTTGTCTCCAGACAACAGCCTTGTTTGTCAGCTGTGATCTCATCTCTGACTGCAAACTCTCAGACTTGATGCTGATCCATCGCAAGTACAACTCCTCCCTGACTGTGATCCTGTCGCAGCTGCCCTCCTCCATTCTGGCAGAGACCCCTGTCCCAGGCTTCAAATCCAAGCAGAAGAACTCTGCAGGTGAATTAATCTTCTGTGTTGCTTGTTTTTTGAACAATGTGAACATACAAACATAGAATCAATGTGAACACATGAACATAGGATCAGTGTGAACACATGAACATAGGATCAGTGTGGACACACCAACAGGATCAGTGTGGACACACAAACAGGATCAGTGTAGACACACAAACATAGGATCAGTGTAAACACACAAAAATAGGATCAGTGTGAACACACAAACATAGGATCAGTGTGAACACACAAATAGGATCAGTGTGAACACACAAACATAGGATCAGTGTGAACACACAAACATAGGATCAGTGTGAACACACAAACATAGGATCAGTGTGAACACACAAACATAGGATCAGTGTGAACACACAAACATAGGATCAGTGTGAACACACAAACATAGGATCAGTGTGGACACACAAACAGGATCAGTGTGGACACACAAACATAGGATCAGTGTAAACACACAAAAATAGGATCAGTGTGAACACACAAACATAGGATCAGTGTGAACACACAAATAGGATCAGTGTAAACACACAAACATAGGATCAGTGTGAACACACAAATAGGATCAGTGTGAACACACAAACATAAGATCAGTGTGAACACACAAACATAGGATCAGTGTGAACACACAAACATAGGATCAGTGTGAACACACAAACATAGGATCAGTGTGAACACACAAACATAGGATCAGTGTGAACACACAAACATAGGATCAGTGTGAACACACAAAAATAGGATCAGTGTGAACACACAAACATAGGATGAGTGTGAACACATGGAAATGGGATCAGTGTGAACACACAAACATAGGATCAGTGTGGACACACAAACAGGATCAGTGTGGACACACGAACATAGGATCAGTGTAAACACACAAAAATAGGATCAGTATGAACACACAAACATAGGATCAGTGTGAACACACAAATAGGATCAGTGTGAACACACAAACATAGGATCAGTGTGAACACACAAACATAGAATCAGTGTGAACACACAAACATAGGATCAGTGTGAACACACAAACATAGGATCAGTGTGAACACACAAACATAGGATCAGTGTGAACACACAAACATAGGATCAGTGTGAACACACAAACATAGGATCAGTGTGAACACACAAACATAGGATCAGTGTGAACACACAAAAATAGGATCAGTGTGAACACATGGAAATGGGATCAGTGTGAACACATGGAATTGGGATCAATGTGAACACAGAGACAAGCATCAGCTATCAGTGTTCTCCTATCAAACAATTTGGCCATATATAACACACTGATGGGAACCAACCAGTCAGATCTTGTCCTCAGATGTTTTGTATTCTAGACACAGCATCATGATCTGATGTGTTTATAATTGTTGTTATGTTTGTTATTCAACCTACACTTGGTTAATATGAATTTCTGTGAGCTATGGTCAATTTGTTTAGATTAATTCTGTCCATTTCCCATTTTCTATTTCTCTTTTGGGAGGGGGGGGGGGGGGGGTGTCTAGTTGGTCATGTATGTTACTTGTTTCTGCAGCAACGTGCTTTCGTCTTTTGGAGGTAACAGATTTGATTCCTGGCATGGTAACTAACGTTAGATTGTTATGTTGCCTTATTTGTCCTTCTGTCTTTCTACTTCTTTCTCTGAGTGCCGATAAATACATGTCTGTCTGTTTATTATACACAAATTGTATGATATTCTTTCTTCCTTGTTTTGTGACGGAGCAGCGGAGAAGATCTCCATTGGGTTTGAATCCAGCAACATGGACCATGTTTTATACTGGAAGGCTCAGATTGACATGGAGGATGAGTTTGTCTTTTTCACCAGAAAATTTCTGGACAGGTGAGAACTATTGACAGAATATTTCTGGACAGGTGAGAACTATTGACAGAATATTTCTGGACAGGTGAGAACTGTTGACAGAATATTTCTGGACAGATAAGAACTGTTGTGGTGCAAGTGTTGCTGTGTCTATGCAGTGTTGTGGTACAAGAGTAGTAACCCATAAGTGCTCTGTTCTACTTCTAACTCGGACCTCAGTTCGAAGAATCTCAGCGCAATGCGTGAGCTCTAGCACCAGCGAGGATCATGAACCACTTTGGGTAGATTTTAACTCCAAATTTTAGGCTGGAGCGCCGTTAGGCTACTCTTTTCAATTCCCAACTGCCAAGGGATTTTTTTACGTGTGCAACAATACACATGGGCATTAGAACTTACTACCCAGAGACCAGGGAAATTACTAGAAGTCTGTGGTCTCGAGGTGTGGCATCCACATTGAGTGCTGGAGGTCCCGGGTGGAAACCCCAGTGAAGGCTGGGATTTTTTCACATGGACTTTTAGTAATTTCCCCTGGTCTCTGTTGCGCACTTACAAAAATCCCAAGTATAATCATCACTGCACTAGGGACAAATCTACAGGTGCTCTTATCTCCTCAGTAGCTTGACAAGTGTCAAACAACTGATGGAGCCTGTTCCCTGTTGATGAATAAACTGTCCCCTTGGTGAAGTGCTCATTTCAAGCAGCTCCAATGTTCCATGTATGTGGGCGGTAAGGGTAGGTCCCTGTGTAAGCATGGTGGTGGCAGATCACAGTCTTATATATTGGTCCCTGTGTAAGCAAGGTAGTGGCAGATCACAGTCTTATATATTGGTCCCTGTGTAAGCAAGGTGGTGGCTGATCTTAGTCTTATATATTGGTCCCTGTGTAAGCAAGGTAGTGGCAGATCACAGTCTTATATATTGGTCCCTGTGTAAGCATCGTGGTGACAGATCACAGTCTTTTATATTGGTCCCTGTGTAAGCAAGGTGGTGGCAGATCACAGTCTTATATATTGGTCCCTGTGTAAGCAAGGTAGTAGCAGATCACAGTCTTATATATTGGTCCCTGTGTAAGCAAGGTGGTGGCAGGTCATAGTCTTATATATTGGTCCCTGTGTAAGCAAGGTGGTGGCAGGTCACAGTCTTATATATTGGTCCCTGTGTAAGCATGGTGGTGGCAGGTCACAGTCTTATATATTGGTCCCTGTGTAAGCAAGGTAGTGGCAGGTCACAGTCTTATATATTGGTCCCTGTGTAAGTATGGTGGTGACAGGTCACAGTCTTATATATTGGTCCCTGTGTAAGCATGGTGGTGACAGGTCACAGTCTTATATATTGGTCCCTGTGTAAGCAAGCTGGTGACAGGTCACAGTCTTATATATTGGTCCCTGTGTAAGCATGGTGGTGACAGATCACAGTCTTATATATTGGTCCCTGTGTAAGCATGGTAGTGGCAGATCACAGTCTTATATATTGGTCCCTGTGTAAGTATGGTGGTGACAGGTCACAGTCTTATATATTGGTCCCTGTGTAAGCATGGTGGTGGCAGATCACTGTCTTATATATTGGTCCCTGTGTAAGCAAGATGGTGGGATGTCACAGACATTCTTGTTGATAGGCAAGATGGTGGCAAGTCACAGATAGTCTTTTAGATAGGTCCCTGTGTAAGCAAAGTCGTGGCAGGTCATAGATAGGTCCCTATATAAGCAAGGTGTTGGCAGGTCATAGATAGGTCCCTGTGTAAGCAAGGTGGTGGCAGATCATAGCCTTACAGATAGGTCCTTGTGTAAGCAGTCCACAAATGTGCAGACTTTCATATTTTTTTCTGGCCAGATTTCCTTGCACCCGGCTACAGAGTACCTGGGCTGACTGTCACGCCTACCTCATCAACAAAAGTGTCATCAGATACCTCAAGGAGAGGCCGTAAGTTTCTCCTGGCAACATCTGCCAGTCTGTCTCATTCTTCTCATTGTTCTCCTGACAATGCCCGCTGGTCTGTCTCATTCTTCTCATTATTCTCCTTACAACATCTGCCGGTCTGACTTGTTCTTCTCATTGTTCTCCTGAGAACACTTGGGATCCTTGATTGCACCAGGGTACACCTGTGATGTGTGATTGCACCAGGATACACTTGTGATGTGTGATTGCACCAGGGTACACCTGTGTTGTGTGATTGCACCAGGGTACACCTGTGTTGTGTGATTGCACCAGGATACACCTGTGATGTGTGATTGCACCAGGATACACCTGTGATGTGTGATTGCACCAGGGTACACCTGTGATGTGTGATTGCATCAGGATATACCTGTGATGTGTGATTGAACCAGGGCTAGAGAAGTATTGAGTGTGTATCAACTCAGGTCTGACCTGGCATTGACCCAGAGTGCCCTGTTTGGGGCAGAGGGTTGACTTAAGTTTGTGCGGGGCAGGACTCTCTTCAAGGGAGATAATAACATGTAGTATCTTCTTATGATCACAATCTTTGACAAGTCTTGGTCAGGCGAATTCTCACTGTGGTCTCCACCATGATGTGGAGTTTCTCTTGAGCTTCACCATGATGTGGAGTTTCTCTTGAGCTTCACCATGATGTGGAGTTTCTCTTGAGCTTCACCATGATGTGGAGTTTCTCTTGAGCTTCACCATGATGTGGAGTTTCTCTTGAGCTTCACCATGATGTGGAGTTTCTCTTGAGCTTGATGTGGAGTTCTCTTGAGCTTCACCATGATGTGGAGTTTCTCTTGAGCTTCACCATGATGTGGAGTTTCTCTTGAGCTTCACCATGATGTGGAGTTTCTCTTGAGCTTCACCATGATGTGGAGTTTCTCTTGAGCTTCACCATGATGTGGAGTTTCTCTTGAGCTTCACCATGATGTGGAGTTTCTCTTGAGCTTCACCATGATGTGGAGTTTCTCTTGAGCTTCACCATGATGTGGAGTTTCTCTTGAGCTTCACCATGATGTGGAGTTTCTCTTGAGCTTCACCATGATGTGGAGTTTCTCTTGAGCTTCACCATGATGTGGAGTTTCTCTTGAGCTTCACCATGATGTGGAGTTTCTCTTGAGCTTCACCATGATGTGGAGTTTCTCTTGAGCTTCACCATGATGTGGAGTTTCTCTTGAGCTTCACCATGATGTGGAGTTTCTCTTGAGCTTCACCATGATGTGGAGTTTCTCTTGAGCTTCACCATGATGTGGAGTTTCTCTTGAGCTTCACCATGATGTGGAGTTTCTCTTGAGCTTCACCATGATGTGGAGTTTCTCTTGAGCTTCACCATGATGTGGTGGAGTTTCTCTTGAGCTTTTTCTCTTGAGCTTCACCATGATGTGGAGTTTCTCTTGAGCTTCACCATGATGTGGAGTTTCTCTTGAGCTTCACCATGATGTGGAGTTTCTCTTGAGCTTCACCATGATGTGGAGTTTCTCTGAGCTTCACCATGATGTGGAGTTTCTCTTGAGCTTCACCATGATGTGGAGTTTTCTCTTGAGCTTCACCATGATGTGGAGTTTCTCTTGAGCTTCACCATGATGTGGAGTTTCTCTTGAGCTTCACCATGATGTGGAGTTTCTCTTGAGCTTCACCATGATGTGGAGTTTCTCTTGAGCTTCACCATGATGTGGAGTTTCTCTTGAGCTTCACCATGATGTGGAGTTTCTCTTGAGCTTCACCATGATGTGGAGTTTCTCTTGAGCTTCACCATGATGTGGAGTTTCTCTTGAGCTTCACCATGATGTGGAGTTTCTCTTGAGCTTCACCATGATGTGGAGTTTCTCTTGAGCTTCACCATGATGTGGAGTTTCTCTTGAGCTTCACCATGATGTGGAGTTTCTCTTGAGCTTCACCATGATGTGGAGTTTCTCTTGAGCTTCACCATGATGTGGAGTTTCTCTTGAGCTTCACCATGATGTGGAGTTTCTCTTGAGCTTCACCATGATGTGGAGTTTCTCTTGAGCTTCATACAGCTTGCAGTTTACAGTTTGTTCTTTGAGCTTTTTCTTTTTTTCAAAACTTGCTGTGGAAAGGGAAATGCTACAGAACTTGCTGTGGAAAGGGAAATGCTACAGAACTTGCTGTGGAAAGGGAAATGCTACAGAACTTGCTGTGGAAAGGGAAATGCTACAGAACTTGCTGTGGAAAGGGAAATGCTACAGAACTTGCTGTGGAAAGGGAAATGCTACAGAACTTGCTGTGGAAAGGGAAATGCTACAGAACTTGCTGTGGAAAGGGAAATGCTACAGAACTTGCTGTGGAAAGGGAAATGCTACAGAACTTGCTGTGGAAAGGGAAATGCTATAAAACTTGCTGTGGAAAGGGAAATGCTACAAAACTTGTTGTGAACATCCTACTTAATTTGTTGTAGAAAGATACTACAGAATTTGTAGAGAGGATAATCCTACAGTTATTTTTGTAGAGAACGAACGAACGAACAAACTTTATTTTCAAAGGGTTACAAATTGGGCACACAGGCCCGTCTGACATTCGGCCCTTCTAAGAACTCATTTTTCATAGTACCAATACCTGTTATCAATAATGCATGTTATGGATTTAATAAAGAAATATAAATTATAGTATAATGCCTACACACATCATTCGTACACACTCACACACACACGTATACATACTCCTATGTTCTCATACATGCGAACTCATATACAGACATACATGATACATACACAAATGCACCTACATACATATACAAGCATACACATTCATAGACATAAATGCACAAACAGAAAACACACACACATACATTTATGGATAAACATGCACACACACATTTCATACATACACATCTATACATGCACCCATGCATACACAAATTTACAATCACATGTACAGACACCAACATATGCCCAAAACCACACAATTACACTTATATGAATACATACACCCACATACATGTATACATATATTCACACATACATACACAAATTTATACATAAACTCACATCTTTACACACATACATACATACCTAAATATACTTTCATATATCCACATACATACACACACAATCACACACACACGCATACTTGCATGCTTTTATAAATACACAAAACACACATACCTACACAGCCACATATACCTGCATACACCCACATTATACATAAATATACACACACACAAACAATCACATACTTACACAGCTACATTTACATTCATACATTCACATATATACAGACATACATAATACATACATGCACCTACATACATATACGCATACATACAGACATACATAATACATATATGCACCTACATACATATACGCACACATACACACATCCACATGTATACATACATACATAGGCTAAATCTGCATGCATAATAATACAAACATACATCAACATACATATACAATTATAAAACACACACATCTGGAGAGGAGAGGATAATCCTGCAGTTCTTTTTGTAGAGAGGATAATCCTACAGAATTTATTGTGAACATAATTTGTTGTAGAAAGAAAGATATTACATAATTTTGAGACAGGAAGGAAGATGCTAGAGAACCTGTCCAGCAGTTTGGTTATAGTCTGTACATGCTAGCGGTGAAGCTCTCTGATAAAGACTGTGTGTGTTACTTGTCAGGTTAAAGTCTGTACATGCTAGCAGTGAAGCTCTCTGATGAAGACTGTGTGTGTTACCTGTCAGGTTATAGTCTGTACATGCTAGCGGTGAAGCTCTCTGATGAAGACTGTGTGTGTTACCTGTCAGGTTATAGTCTCTACATGCTGGCGGTGAAGCTCTCTGATGAAGACTGTGTGTGTTACCTGTCAGGTTATAGTCTCTACATGCTGGCGGTGAAGCTCTCTGATGAAGACTGTGTGTGTTACTTGTCAGGTTATAGTCTCTACATACTAGCGGTGAAGCTCTCTGATGAAGACTGTGTGTGTTACTTGTCAGCTGTGAGACCTGTAGAACAAATGGTTCCTGTGCCAGTAAACTTGGTCCCACAGTGGTGGTCAGGCTATGAGACGCAGATGCCCACACCACCATCCTGAACCAGCTGTACAGGCATTCTTCATTCTTGTTTCAGATAACTTTCTTGGATCACATTGTTACTTAGATCATGCTGCATCTGTTCTTAGACTAGATGATTCACTTTTGACACTGAATGCACTTGTGTGTTAGTAGCAGATGACCATGGTGTTGAGCCAAACTCCAACTATGGTCTTCACTGCCCCATGGAGCAGGTCTTCACTGCCCTATGGAGCAGGTCTTCACTGGCCCATGGAGCAGGTCTTCACTGCCCCATGTAGCAGGTCTTCACTGACCCATGGAGCAGGTCTTCACTGCCCCATGGAGCAGGTCTCGCTTTGTAAGTGGACAAGTTGGTGATTCCATGAATGTTTGCAAACAACACAATCAGCATGCCAATTCTGTAAACATTTCCTCCAAATGTTTACCAAGAAATTTGTATCTTTCTTCCAGGATCAGGATTGTTCCTGGCTGCATGTCAGCTGCTTGTCTCTTATGGGGAAGGGAAAATATCTTTTGGTTTTATGTCTTTTGACTGTTCTGTTGAGGCTTCTTGTTGGGTTGAGCTGTCTCTATTGACTGTTCTGTTGGAGTGGCTTTTTGGGTTGAGCTCTTTATCTCCTGGCGTGCTGTTGGGGCAGCTTGTTGGCTTGAGCTCTGTATCTGTTGACTGTGCTGTTGGGGCAGCTTGTTGGGTTGAGCTCTGTATCTGTTGACTGTGCTGTTGGGGCAGCTTGTTGGGTTGAGCTCTATGTCTGTTGTCTTCCCTAGAAACATTAGTTCTCTACAAGGAGAACTGCTCCCTCTGGTTGTTCAGAAGCAGATGTCCATGTATGTCCGGGACCGTCCCAAGGAAGATGCAGACATGGCAAGTCCAGGAAGTGATGTCAGAGTTGGGAAAAAGAAAGGTATAGAAGTTGACTGTCTTTGTTATGTTTAATTATGTGTTTTACAGATATACTGTAATTAGGTTCAGTAATCAGTGTTTTACAGATATGGTGTAATTAGGTTCAGTAATCAGTGTTTTACAGATATGGTGTAATTAGGTTCAGTTATCAGTGTTTTACCGATCTGGTGTAATTAGGTTCAGTAATCAGTGTTTTACACATCTGGTGTAATTATGTTCAGTTATTAGTGTTTTACAGATCTGTGTAATAAGGTTCAGTAATCAGTGATTTACAGATCTGTGTAATAAGGTTCAGTTATCAGTGTTTTACAGATCTGGTGTAATTAGGTTCAGTAATCAGTGTTTTACAGATCTGTGTAATTAGGTTCAGTAATCAGTGTTTTACAGATCTGGTGTAATTATGTTCAGTTATCAGTGTTTTACAGATCTGGTGTAATTATGTTCAGTTATTAGTTTTTTACAGATCTGGTGTAATTATGTTCAGTTATTAGTTTTTTACAGATCTGTGTAATTATGTTCAGTTATCAGTGTTTTATAGATCTGGTGTAATTATGTTTAGTTATCAATGCTTTACATATCTGGTGTATTGATGTTCAGTTATCAATGCTTTACATATCTGGTGTATTGATGTTCAGTTATCAATGTTGTACAGATCTGGTGGACTTCGTAGCTGAATCAGAGAGTGACCTCACAAATTCTGTGAAGTTTCTATCACTGACAAGTGATAGCTTTGGTGAGTAGTCCAAGTTTGTGTAACTGTCTAGTGATAGATTGATTAAGTAGTCCATGTGTGTTTAACTGTGTAGTGATTTACTGGATCAATAATCCAAGTGTGTCTAATTGTCTAGTGATGTACTGGATTAATAATCCAAATGTGTTTAACCGTCTGGTGATTGAGTGTATCAATAATCCAATGTGTTTAACTGTGTAGTGATTTACTGGATCAATAATCCAAGTGTGTCTAATCGTCTAGTGATGTACTGGATTAATAATCCAAATGTGTTTAACTGTCTAGTGATTGACTGGATCAATAACTCAAGTGTGTTTAACTATTTAGTGATAGATTGGATCAATAATCCAAGTGTGTTTAATATTCTAGTGATTGGCTGGATCAGTACTGAAGGTTTAAGTAACTGTTTAGTGATTGATTGCGTCAGTACTCAAAGTTTGTGTAACTGTCTAGTGATAGATTGATTCAGTAGTCCAAATTTGTGTAACTGTCTAATGATAGATTTTATGAATTCAAGTTTGTGTAACTGTCTAGTGATTGACTGGATCAATAGGTCGTTTGTGTAGAAATTTCCATATCTGACTGTTGCTATTTCATTGACCAGGTCTCAGCGAGGACTCCCCACAGAAAGATTTGGTCCGATGCTATGCCTACAGACAGACCAGTGGGTTCTGCGTCCGGGCCAACACTGTTGCTGCTTATTTTGAGGCTTGCAAACAGGTCTTTGATATACTCCTAACTGTAAATACTTTTAGAAGACAGTCAATCTCTGGCAGGCTTTGACACAGTCATTCGCAAATACAAACATTTACTGGTAAAAACATGTGAGATGGGAAATATGTATGAGCAAATTGTATCAGGCTGGAGAGAAGGATATCTTGTGAAACTGCCCAAAAAAGGTGATCTGCACGAGTGTGAAAACTATAGAGGAATTATGTTGCTGTCAGTCCCTGGAAAAATATTAAGTAGAATTATTTTGGAAAGATTAAAAGATGCTGTTGAAAAAATGCTAAGAGATGAACAGGCAGGTTTTTGGCCTAACAGATCCAGTACTGATCAGATAGCCACATTACGTATTATAATAGGGCAAAGCATTGAACTGAACTTACCAGTTTTGTAGACTATGAAAAACCGTTTGACAGCATTGATAGGGAATCTCTCTGGAAATTGAAGGGGCACTATGGGAAAAAAAAGGTGTGCGACAGGGATGTCTTTTGTCGCCTCTCCTATTTTTACTGGATAAAGACTGGATTATTAAGACATTAATTGCTAACACCAAGAATGGAATTCAGGAGACCACTAAAAAACAGCTTGATTATCTGGACTTGGCTGATGCTGTTTCTCTTCTGTTCCATTCACGGAATCAGATGCAAGATAAATTAAATATACTGGATGCGAGATCACAGCAGCTAGGTCTGAAAATCCATAAAGGAAAGACAAAGATAATGAGAATAAATCACACAAATAGTAATGTGGTTTCTCTTAATGACACTCTACTCCAAGACTTGGGAGTCGTACACCTGTTTGGGCAGTAATGAAGATAAAGAGGGAGAACTGATAGAGATATTAAAATAAGGATACAAAAGGCAAGAGAAGCTTTCATAGCACTTGGCAATTTGTAAAAGTCAAAAGAAATTAAACGAAATACTATACTTCAAATGTTTAATTCTAATGTCAAATCAGTTCTTTTGTATGGGGCAGAAACAAGGAGAACATCTAAGACAATTACTAATAAATTACATTCATTAACTGGTGCCTGCGCAGAATAGAGGGAATTAAATAGTATCATAGAATAACTAATGTAGAGCTTTGGGAGAGAACTAAACAGACTCCAGTGGACCAAGAGGTGAGGAAAAGACACTGGTGTTGGATAGGACACACATTGAGAAAACTGGAGAACAGCATAACTAGAATGTCTTTGCATTGAAACCCACAGGGGCATAGGAATAAAGGAAGGCCAAAAAAACACATGGAGAAAAGAGTTGGAGAATGAAGTTAGAAAGATGGGGAGAGCTCCATGCAATGGCGAAGGATAGAATGACTTGGTGTGAGTTGGTTGAGGGCCTGTGCTCCATTAGGTGATATAAAGGCAGAAGAAGAAAGAAAGAAGAAGAAATGTTATCAGGTGTAGAAATTGAGAAATGGATTGAATGGTACTACTGTGAAATGTGAGGAAAAACTAAAACAGTTACTGATAAACTTCAACAGCTGGGCATAATACTGAAAGGCACTGACTCGCTGGACATGACAGCTTGATGTCACTGACACACTTGACTTGACAGCATGATGGCACTGACATGACAGCTTGATGGCACTGACCCGCTTGACATGACAGCATGATGGCACTGACATGTTTGACATGACAGCTTGATGGCGCTTGACATGACAGCTTGATGACACTGATATGCTTGACATGACAGCTTGATGACACTGATATGCTTGACATGACAGCTTGATGACACTGATATGCTTGACATGACAGCTTGATGACACTGACACACTGGACATGACAGCTTAATGGCATTGACACACTTGACATGACAGCTTGATGGCACTGACATGCTTGACATGACAGCTTGATGGCACTGACATGTTTGACATGACAGCATGATGGCACTGACATGTTTGACATGACAGCTTGATGGCACTGACATGCTTGACATAACAGCTTGATGGCACTGACATGCTTGATGGCACTGACACACTTGACATGACAGCTTGATGGCACTGACATGCTTGACATGACAGCTTGATGGCACTGACATGCTTGACATGACAGCTGATGGCACTGACACTTGAACATGACATGGCACTGACATGCTTGACATGACACAGCATGATGGCACTGATGGCATTTTTGACATGACAGCTTGCACTGACATGATGGCGCTTGATGGCACTGACAGCTTGATGACACTTGATGGCACTGACTGACATGATGCTTGACATGACATTGACAGCTTGATGACACTGATATGCTTGACATGACAGCTTGATGACACTGATATGCTTGACATGACAGCTTGATGACACTGATATGCTTGACATGGCAGCTTGATGACACTGACATGCTTGACATGACCGCTTGATGGCACTGACATGCTTGATGGCACTGACATGCTTGATGGCACTGACACACTTGACATGACAGCTTGATGGCACTGACATGCTTGACATGACAGCTTGATGGCACTGACATGCTTGACATGACAGCTTGCTGGCACTGACCCGCTTGACATGACAGCTTGATGGCACTGACATGCTTGACATGACAGCTTGATGACACTGACATGCTTGACATGACAGCTTGATGGCACTGACATGCTTGACATGACAGCTTGATGGCACTGACACGCTTGACATGAAAGCTTGATGGCACTGACACGCTTGACATGAAAGCTTGATGGCACTGAGACACTGGACATGACAGCTTGATGGCACTGACATGCTTGACATGACAGCTTGGTGACACTGATATGCTTGACATGACAGCTTGATGACACTGATATGCTTGACATGACAGCTTGATGACACTGATATGCTTGACATGACAGCTTGATGACACTGACACACTGGACATGACAGCTTAATGGCATTGACACACTTGACATGACAGCTTGATGGCACTGACATGCTTGACATGACAGCTTGATGGCACTGACATGTTTGACATGACAGCATGATGGCACTGACATGTTTGACATGACAGCTTGATGGCACTGACATGCTTGACATGACAGCTTGATGGCACTGACATGCTTGACATGACAGCTTGATGGCACTGACATGCTTGACATGACAGCTTGATGGCACTGACATGCTTGACATGACAGCTTGATGGCACTGACATGCTTGACATGACAGCTTGCTGGCACTGACCCGCTTGACATGACAGCTTGATGGCACTGACATGCTTGACATGACAGCTTGATGACACTGACATGCTTGACATGACAGCTTGATGGCACTGACATGCTTGACATGACAGCTTGATGGCACTGACACGCTTGACATGAAAGCTTGATGGCACTGACACACTGGACATGACAGCTTGATGGCACTGACCCGCTTGACATGACAGCATGATGGCACTGACATTTTTGACATGACAGCTTGATGACACTGATATGCTTGACATGACAGCTTGATGACACTGATATGCTTGACATGACAGCTTGATGACACTGATATGCTTGACATGGCAGCTTGATGACACTGACACACTGGACATGACAGCTTAATGGCATTGACACACTTGACATGACAGCTTGATGGCACTGACATGCTTGACATGACAGCTTGATGGCACTGACATGCTTGACATGACAGCTTGATGGCACTGACATGCTTGACATGACAGCTTGATGGCACTGACATGCTTGACATGACAGCTTGATGGCACTGACATGCTTGACATGACAGCTTGACTGACATGCTTGACATGACAGCTTGATGGCACTGACATGCTTGACATGACAGCTTGATGGCACTGACATGCTTGACATGACAGCTTGATGGCACTGACATGCTTGACATGACAGCTTGATGGCACTTGACATGAACAGCTTGACATGACAGCTTGATGGACACTGACAACTGACACTTGACATGACAGCTTGATGGCACTGACATGCTTGGACAGCTGGGTGACACTGATATGCGTGACTGACACATGACACTGATATGCTTGATGGCACTGACACACTGATATGCTTGACATGACAGCTTGATGACACTGACATGCTTGACATGACAGCTTGATGACATGCACTGACAGCATGCTGACATGACATGACAGCTTGATGGCACTGACATGCTTGACATGACAGCTTGATGGCACTGACATGCTTGACATGACAGCTTGATGGCACACATGACAGCTTGATGACATGACAGCTTGACATGGACACTGACAGCTTGCTGGCACTTGACCCGCTTGACATGCTTGACATGACAGCTTGATGGACACTGACATGCTTGACATGACAGCTTGATGGCACTGACATGCTTGACATGACAGCTTGATGGCACTGACACATGCTTGACATGACAGCTTGACAGCTTGATGGCACTGACATGGCACTGACATGCTTGACATGACAGCTTGATGACACTGGCTTGACTGACAGCTTGATGGCACTGACATGCTTGACATGACAGCTTGATGACATGACAGCTTGACATGACAGCTTGATGACAACACACTTGACATGACAGCTTGATGGCACTGACATGACATGACAGCATGATGGCACTGACATGCTTGACATGACAGCTTGATGACATGACAGCTTGATGTCACTGATGACACACTTGACATGACAGCTTGATGTCACTGACACACTTGACTTGACAGCTTGATGGCACTGACAGCTTGATGGCACTGACCCGTTTGACATGACAGCATGATGGCACTGATATGTTTGACATGACAGATTGATGGCACTGACATGCTTGACATGACAGCATGATGGCACTGACATGCTTGACATGACAGCATGATGGCACTGACATGCTTGACATGACAGCTTGATGACACTGATATGCTTGACATGACAGCTTGATGGCACTGATATGCTTGACATGACAGCTTGATGGCACTGACATGTTTGACATGACAGCTTGATGGCACTGACACACTTGACTTGAAAGCTTGATGGCACTGACACGCCTGACATGAAAGCTTGATGGCACTGACATGCTTGACATGACAGCATGATGGCACTGACACGCTTGATGGCACTGACACGCTTAACATGACAGCTTGATGACACTGACACACTGAACATGACAGCTTGTTGGCACTGACATGCTTGATGGCACTGACACACTTGATGGCACTGACACACTTGATGGCACTGACACGCTTGACATGACAGCTTGTCATGTTGTGTATAACTTTATCTGACATATTTTGTGTATAACTTTGTCTGACATGTGTTGTGTATGACTTTAATTAACAGTTGTCATGTATGACTTTATATGTGTCAGGTTTGACTGTCTGACATGTGTCATGTATGAACTTATCTGACACATGTTATGTAGGACTTTATCTGACATGTCTCGTGTATGATGTTATTTGCCATCTCTCATGTATGACTTTATCTGACATGTCTTGTGAATAACTATCTGACATCTCTCATGTATGACTTTATCTGACAGGTGTCTTGTGTGACCTTGTCTGATATGTGTTATGTATGGCTTTAATTAGCCGTTGACCTGTATGACTATCTGACAGATGCCCCGCCTGATCGGTACATTCTGGAATAACAAAAAGAAGGAAGCCCTGCTGAACGTGCCCGAGTCGACCACCATTAAACCCAAATCTCAGGTGAGTTTATCTAGTTAGTCACATCCAACAGAACCTGGAAACTTCAAGCCCCTTAACCCCTCTCCCCTCACCCCACAGTATTGTGAAAGAGGCTGACACCCCCCCCCCCCCCCCCCCCCTTACAGTTTGATGAAAGAGGCTGACCCCCCTCCCTACTTTAAACTGTAAACTCCGGTGCAAAATTATAGTTGTTTGTCCATTTCCGGACTATAGTCTTGTTCAAGAATTTGAGTTGTGTGTGCATCAGTTTTACAGGTCTGGTTTTTGGTTCCTCTCAGGCCGATAAAAGTCCGATTTGGAAGGAAACCCATAATTAGTCATCTTACATGTCATGCTGGGGTAGAGAGGTAGTGGGTCTGTTCTGTGTGGCCATGGTAGAGAGGTAGTGGGTCTGTTCTGTGTGGCCATGGTAGAGAGGTAGTGGGTCTGTTCTGTGTGGCCATGGTAGAGAGGTAGTGGGTCTGTTCTGTGTGGCCATGGTAAAGAGGTAGTGGGTCTGTTCTGTGTGGCCATGGTAGAGAGGTAGTGGGTCTGTTCTGTGTGGACATGGTAGAGATGTAGTGGGTCTGTTCTGTGTGGACATGGTAGAGAGGTAGTGGGTCTGTTCTGTGTGACCATGATAGAGACGTAGTGGGTCTGTTCTGTGTGGACATGGTAGAGAGGTAGTGGGTCTGTTCTGTGTGGACATGGTAGAGAGGTAGTGGGTCTGTTCTGTGTGACCATGGTAGAGACGTAGTGGGTCTGTTCTGTGTGGCCTTGGTAGAGACGTAGTGGGTCTGTTCTGGGTGGCCTTGGTAGAGACGTAGTGGGTCTGTTCTGTGTGGCCTTGGTAGAGATGTAGTGGGTCTGTTCTGTGTGGCCTTGGTAGAGATGTAGTGGGTCTGTTCTGTGTGGCCTTGGTAGAGATGTAGTGGGTCTGTTCTGTGTGGCCATGGTAGAGAGGTAGTGGGTCTGTTCTGTGTGGCCTTGGTAGAGACGTAGTGGGTCTGTTCTGTGTGGCCTTGGTAGAGATGTAGTGGGTCTGTTCTGTGTGGCCATGGTAGAGACGTAGTGGGTCTGTTCTGTGTGACCATGGTAGAGACGTAGTGGGTCTGTTCTGTGTGGCCATGGTAGAGATGTAGTGGGTCTGTTCTGTGTGGCCATGGTAGAGATGTAGTGGGTCTGTTCTGTGTGGCCATGGTAGAGATGTAGTGGGTCTGTGTGGCTGTGTGGCCATGGTATGAGAGAGAGGTAGTGGGTCTGTTCTGTGTGGCCATGGTAGAGAGGTAGTGGGTCTGTTCTGTGTGGACATGGTAGAGATGTAGTGGGTCTGTTCTGTGTGGCCATGGTAGAGATGTAGTGGGTCTGTTCTGTGTGGCCATGGTAGAGATGTAGTGGGTCTGTTCTGTGTGGCCATGGTAGAGAGGTAGTGGGTCTGTTCTGTGTGGCCATGGTAGAGAGGTAGTGGGTCTGTTCTGTGTGGCCTTGGTAGAGATGTAGTGGGTCTGTTCTGTGTGGCCTTGGTAGAGATGTAGTGAGTCTGTTCTGTGTGGACATGGTAGAGAGGTAGTGGGTCTGTTCTGTGTGGCCTTGGTAGAGATGTAGTGGGTCTGTTCTGTGTGGCCTTGGTAGAGATGTAGTGGGTCTGTTCTGTGTGGCCTTGGTAGAGATGTAGTGGGTCTGTTCTGTGTGGACATGGTAGAGAGGTAGTGGGTCTGTTCTGTGTGGCCTTGACCTTGAGCCCCAGAGCCCACGTCGAGCATGTGCATAGAAATAATATATCTACAATAAAAATGTGAGGACTCATATAGTAAACATTGTTTCCCTGTTTGACACATAATATTTCATTTGCTCACTTTAACATGATGTAAGTCTCTATTGGGTGCCCTTCCCCACTTTCTTTGTGGTTGTGCGCCTCATAACAGTACCAAGTAAGTAATATCAGCAGGTACTGCCATCTGTATTCACCACTGTGCTGTGTACATTCATAACAGTGCTAGGTACTTTGTCACAACAGTGCTAGGTACTTTGTCACAACAGTGCTAGGTACTTTGTCACAACAGTGCTTGGTATTTTGTGATAGCAGTGCTTGGTACTTTGTCACAACACTTCTAGGTACCTATAACAGTTTCATGTACACAGTCTTAGATAGTTTGTGACATCGACACTCATGGGCTGCCAGGTTGTTATTGTCACCATGTTTATACCTGGCCAGGTGGGAGCAGACTGCATGCTGGGAGAGAGTGTGACTATTGGAGAGAAGGTGTCCGTGAAGAAGTCGGTGATTGGCAAACACTGCAAGATTGCTGACAAGGTCAGGATCACCAACTCTGTCATCATGGATCATGTCACCATTCAGGACAGGTCAGTGGCTACACTCATCTTTTTTCTCACTCTTTCCCTCATCCTTTCTTAGTCACACATTGCAGTGCAGCTGTCTCGTCTGAGTGCATACTGCCTAGTCAGGTATATTGGCAGAATCTTCAGCACAACAGGCTTTAACATGAACAAATGTCGAGAACACTACACTGCTGACACAGATGTGTTTATTGCTCCAAGGATGTTCCTCTCAGTCATTGAGCCGCCGCTTTGATGTTTGTGGTAACAGTAAATCAACAACAGTAGAGTATAAAGTTTGTTACCAGACCAGAGTTATCAGTTAAAGTACTTCTAACCGTTAGCACTGCAGGTCTGGCAACATTGCATTCAAAACCACTTGAACTCACAGCAGATGATTTTCATCCATTCCAATCCAGCATAGCCAGGTTTTCTCAGGTTGGAAGCTTAATCAGACATTCACTTACTTCTTGGATACATTCAGTTCAGACAATCCCAGAGCCACAGGACTAAACTCTTGCAGTATTGAAAACAAGACGGAGCTTTCTTACTTACTCCCAGTTTAAATAATCTAGTCTACTTCTCATGTGTACTCACAAGCTCCACTGACAATTTCACACATTCCTCGTGTAATATGCTCTGCTAGGGGCATGTGTTGTTTACATTGCTTTCAGACGAACAGTGAGTTGTAACGACACAACATGAACGAATCTTGAATTGCTTGCTTTTACTCGTTGATCGCCAATTATCGCATACACACATTCTTGCGTCCTCGTGCTCGTCTTGCTTGGCTGAATCTAGCGACCTGGTCGGACTTCTTACACACTACATGAATCCGTCAACGTCTCTCGAATCATCCATCTATCCTTCACGAACCCTGGTACCTGACATTAAGACGTGTGGAAAAACATTCAGTCCTCCTATCGAAATATAACACTCGTTTCACAATTTGTTCATTCTTCTCAAGCGTCCACTCATGCGACATCTCTCAGTCAGGGCCGAACTTCAACTGTCTTACTTCTGTCTCCCGGTTCATGTCTTCCGTTCACATCTCATGCTTTTCTTGTGTCCCTCACTTTGCTCCCCATGAAATACACGAGACCCACTTATCCCGTTTTTCTCTTCTATTACTGGTCCTCCGACCTTGTCCTCCCCATCGGGAACTCTCTGGGATTTCCCCGGGAATTCACACCATTACACCTCGTCTGGCACACATCAGCCTAACTGCACGTTTATCTCCTTAGTATCGATTACTTGATCTGTTCACACATACAATATAGTTTGCAATTGATGTCATCTATCCTAATCCTCGCACATAATTTATGTTTAGTGGTTGTCCTCATTTTCAAACGATGAGAAAATTTACCAACAATGAGAAAATGTACCAACAATGAGAAAATGGCTCCTTAGACACATTTATTCATCGTATTCCAAACATTTCTCCCTATCTCACTCTGTCTTTTCAGTCTCAGCGTGTTTGTTCCCTTCCCCTCTGTTTGTGTCCTATCAGATACCATAAGTGTGTTGCTACATGAGATGAGAATGTCAGTGTGCCAGACAACTGTAGCGTAAAAGTTGCTACATGAGATGAGAATGTCAGTGTGCCAGACAACTGTAGCATACAAGTTGCTACATGAGATGAGAACGTCAGTGTGCCAGACAACTATAGCGTACAAGTTGCTACATAAGATGAGAACATCAGTGTGCCAGACAACTATAGCGTACAAGTTGCTATATGAGATGAGAACATCAGTGTGCCAGACAACTGTAGCGTACAAGTTGCTACATGAGATGAGAATGTCAGTGTGCCAGACAACTGTAGCGTACAAGTTGCTACATGAGATGAGAATGTCAGTGTGCCAGAAAACTGTAGCGTACAAGTTGCTACATGAGATAAGAACATCAGTATGCCAGACAACTGTAGCGTACAAGTTGCTACATGAGATGAGAATGTCAGTGTGTCAGATAACTGTAGCTTACAAGTTGCTACATGAGATGAGAATGTCAGTGTGTCAGACAACTGTAGCGTACAAGTTATTACATGAGATGAGAATGTCAGTGTGCCAGAAAACTGTAGCGTACAAGTTGCTACATGAGATAAGAACATCAGTGTGCCAGACAACTGTAGCGTACAAGTTGCTACATGAGATGAGAATGTCAGTGTGTCAGATAACTGTAGCTTACAAGTTGCTACATGAGATGAGAATGTCAGTGTGCCAGACAACTGTAGCGTACAAGTTGCTACATGAGATGAGAATGTCAGTGTGCCATATAACTTTAGCGTACAAGTTGCTACATGAGATGAGAATGTCAGTGTGCCAGACAACTGTAGCGTACAAGTTGCTACATGAGATGAGAATGTCAGTGTGCCAGACAACTGTAGCGTACAAGTTGCTACATGAGATGAGAATGTCAGTGTGTCAGATAACTGTAGCATACAAGTTGCTACATGAGATGAGAATGGCAGTGTGCCAGACAACTGTAGCTTACAAGTTGCTACATGTGATGAGAATGTCAGTGTGCCAGACAACTGTAGCTTACAAGTTGCTACATGAGATGAGAATGTCAGTGTGCCAGACAAATGTTGCGTACAAGTTGCTACATGAGATAAGAATGTCAGCGTGTCAGACAACTGTAGCGTACAAGTTGCTACATGAGATGAGAATGTCAGTGTGCCAGACAAAATTCAAAAGATAAACTAATAAAAAGCAAATAGCAAATGGGTTACCCCATAGTTGCCCTGCTCCTGTGCCAACGAAAAACACACACAGAATGTTTATCACAGTCCCTTGTGGAAAGATTGGCAGACTGCTGTCCCAGCATATGCACTAGCATACACACGTATTAAAAGCATAAGGTAGCCATCTGAAGTGCTAACACAAACAACCCGACATTAGAAATGCAGTTCATCATGGATGGTAGCAGAAGTCACCAACATATCGGCAGTTGCACACAGATTAAATTGCCAGATTACCAGCATATATCACTGTGTTGTGTGAAAGTTTGTTTTTGTTGTTTTAGGGCTTGTATTTGTGTGTGAATGCTTGTAAATGTTGTGTTTGTCAAATGTAAAAGTACTTTTGCCTACATGTGCCCACAAGCATCTCCTTACTTCCACCTGTGCCCACAAATGTCTACCCATTAAGACCTTACACCTGTGCCCACAATCTCCCCCTTACACCTGTGCCCACAATCTCCCCCTTACACCTGTGCCCACAACCTCCCCCTTACACCTGTGCCCACAACCTCCCCCTTACACCTGTGCCTACAATCTCCCCCTCACACCTGTGCCCACAATCTCCCCCTTACACGTATGCCCACAATCTCCCCATTACACTGCCCACAAATATCTCTCCCTTACACCTGTGCCCACAAAAATCTCCCCCTTACACCTTACACCTGTGCCCACAAATATCTCTCCCTTACACCTGTGCCCACAAATATTTCTTCCTTACACCTGTGCCCACAAATATCTCCCCACTTACACATGTGCCCACAAATATCTCCCCACTTACACATGTGCCCACAAATATCTCCCCACTTACACCTGTGCCCACAAATATCTCTCCCTTACACCTTACACCTGTGCCCACAAATATCTCTGCCTTACACCTGTGCCCACTCCCCCACCACCTTACACCTGTGCCCACATATATCTCTTCCTTACACCTGTGCCCACAAATATCTCTCCCTTTCACCTGTGCCCACATATATCTCTCCCTTACACCTGTGCCCACAAATATCTCTCCCTTTCACCTGTGCCCACAACTCCCTTACACCTGTGCCCACAAATATCTCTCCCTTACACCTGTGCCCACAAATATCTCTCCCTTACACCTGTGCCCACAAATATCTCTCCCTTACACATGTGCCCACAAATATCTCTCCCTTACACCTGTACTGACAAACAAAGAAGAAGGTATTATGTGGGGGGAATGTTCAAGACCTACAGCTTGTGTTCACTGCTCCATTCTGTGTTCACTGCTCCATCCTGTGTTCACTGCTCCATTCTGTGTTCACTGCTCCATTCTGTATTCACTGCTCCATCCTGTGTTCACTGTGATGACATTTTGTGTCTGCAGCTGTAACATCATCAACTGCATCATTGCTGACTCAGCCAACATTGGGGACAAGTGTGAGCTCAACAACTGTATCATAGGGCACAACCAGAGCATCCCCACCATGTGTAAGTGGATTATGTCATATGTTTATCTCACCACCATGTGTCAGACTGTTTATCTCACCACCATGTGTCAGACTGTTTATTTCACATCATATATCAGACTGTTTATCTCACCATCATGTGTCAGACTGTTTATCTCACCACCATATATCAGGCTGTTTATCTCACCACCATGTGTCAGACTGTTTATCTCATCAAAATATATAAGACTGTTTATCTCACCACCATGCATCAGCCTGTTTATCTCACCACCGTGTATCAGACTGTTTATCTCACCACCATGTGTCAGACTGTTTATCTCACCACTATATATCAGACTGTTTGTCTCACCATCATATATCAGACTGTTTATCTCACCACCATATATCAGACTGTTTATTTCACCACCATGTGTCAGACTGTTTATCTCACCACCATATATCAGGCTGTTTATCTCACCACCATGTGTCAGACTGTTTATCTCACCACCATGTGTGAGACTGTTTATCTCACCACCATGTGTCAGACTGTTTATCTCACCACCATGTGTGAGAATGTTTATCTCACCACCATGTGTCAGACTGTTTATCTCACCACCATGTGTCAGACTGTTTATCTCATTACCATATGTCAGACTGTTTATCTCACCACCATGTGTCAGGCTGTTTATCTCACCACAATGTGTCAGGCTGTTTATCTCACCACCATATATCAGACTGTTTATCTCACCACCATATATCAGACTGTTTATCTCACCACCGTGTGTCAGACTGTTTATCTCACATTCGTATATCAGACTGTTTATCTCACCATCATGTGTCAGACTATTTATCTCACCACCATGTGTCAGACTGTTTGTCTCACCACCATGTGTCAGACTGTTTATCTCACCACCATGTGTCAGACTGTTTATCTCATCACCATGTGTCAGACTGTTTATCTCACCACAATATATCAGGCTGTTTATCTCATAACCATATTTGTGTCAGACTATTTATCTCACCACCATATATCAGATTATTTATCTCAGCACTATATATGACTGTTTATCTCACCACCATGTGTCAGACTATTTATCTCACCACCATGTGTCAGACTATTCTTCTTCTTCTTCGCGTTCACCAGCTGTAAACTCTGGCGGAAGGTTCTGGTTGCTCGTCTACTACTGAACTGCAGTCCTGCTCCAGAACCTGAGTGTTGCGTGTGCATCAGTTTTACAGATCTCATTCTCTTGAATACAGACTGTTGGTTCCTTGCCTCTCCGGCAGATGCACTCCGACTTCAAAGGAAGCTCCCCAATTAGTCGACTCTTACAACATGCTTTTGGGGAGGCAGTGGGTCTATTCTTGTTTTCCCCACAATGGGGCCCCGGAACCCACACGGGGGTGTCAGACTATTTATCTCACCACCATATATCAGACTGTTAGATATTTCTGCGACTTACTAGCAGTCACTGTGCTATTCCCATATTTCTTTTTATTTCTACAACTTCACATTGTGTTATTCGTATATTTTCATGTTATTCCCACAAGTTGATAACATATGTTCAAATGCCATGTAGTGTATTATCACCAAGGTGGTTTGTTCACTTGCAGCCAAGCACACAAACGAGGTTGTCAGTAACGTGTCACAGATGATGGAAGTCTTCCTGGAATGACACACACTCAACAGGGGGCAACAGCTGCCTCCCAGGCCAGCACCGCGGTCACTCCACAAGTCACAACTGGGGATGTTCATCAGGGACGGCTGTGTCAGTCTGTGTCTGTGCCTGCTACTGTGTCTTGTCTTATTGTCTTGTTCTTGTCTGTTGGCCGAGTTTACAGTGGAAGACTTGCCAGCTGGCACACCCAGCAGACACTATTCCATATTTCCTCCTTAGAGGAGCCCTACATGAGGAAAACAAGTGTCCGCTGATTGTTAGTTCTTCATTATCAGCCTCGCACCGCTGATTGTTAGTTCTTCATTATCAGCCTCGCACTGCTAATTGTTAGTTCTTCATTATCAGCCTCGCACCGCTAATTGTTAGTTCTTCATTATCAGCCTCGCACCGCTGATTGTTAGTTCCTCATTATCAGCCTCGCACCGCTGATTGTTAGTTCTTCATTATCAGCCTCGCACCGCTGCTTGCAGGCTGGTTGTAAGACAGGCCTGTGTGCCTAATTTGTGATTCTTTGACAATTGTTAATTCGTCATTGTCAACTGCTTGCAGGTAGCATGTGGCAGACTCGTCGGTGTTCTAATCTCTCTCTTTACTTCCATCAGTTTGTGTGTATATGTTTGGACAAGTCACCTGTCTGTGGTGTGACAAGTCACCTGTCTGTGTTGTTCTCTGACTAATCTCTCTCTTTACTCCAGCGGATCTTCCATCAGTTTGTGTGTATATGTTTGGACAAGTCACCTGTCTGAGGTGTGACAAGTCACCCGTCTGTGGTGTGACACGTCAACCGTCTGTGGTGTGACAAGTCACCCATCTGTGGTGTGACAAGTCACCCGTCTGTGGTGTGACAAGTCACCTGTCTGTGGTGTGACAAGTCATCTGTCTGTGGTGTGACAAGTCATCTGTCTGTGGTGTGACAAGTCACCTGTCTGTGGTGTGACAAGTCACCAGTCTGTGGTGTGACAAGTCACCTGTCTGTTGGGTGTGTCATATGTATGTGATGTGACCTGGGTTATTGACTACACTTTAACCCAAGTCCTTTTACTGACTGTTGGATTTTCTGTTTCATTTGTTGTATATGAGGTCTAGCTATACATAACAGTTGTTAGGTCTGTAGTTGTTGTTGAGAAACAGTTTATGGTAGAATGTATGTGAGCTTGGCAGTGAAACAGGTGAACAGACTATATTTAATGGAGTGTATTCAGCTCTGGTAGTGAAACAAATGAACAGACTACAGTATCTATGCGTGTGTGTGTGTGGTGGCCTTATGGGCCAAAAGTCTGTGGTAGAAATATTCTTGTTTTCTTGACAGTAATAAATCTGGTAAAACAGCTGGCCAGTTTTCTGTTTTTATTATCTTTTCTGTGTCCAAGTCTTGACACAGCTTCAGACATCACATCAGCCCAGTCCACAGCATTAAGTCAGCCCACAGCATTAAGTCAGCCCACAGCATCAAGTCAGCCCACAGCATCATGTCAGCCCACAGCATCGAGTCAGCTCACAACATCAAGTCAGCCCACTGCATCAAGTCAGCCCACAGCATCAGATTAGCTCACAACATCAAGTCAGCCCACTGCATCAGATTAGCTCACAACATCAAGTCAGCCCACTGCATCAGATTAGCTCACAACATCAAGTCAGCCCACTGCATCAAGTCAGCCCACAGCATCAGATTAGCTCACAACATCAAGTCAGCCCACAGCATCAAGTCAGCCCACAGCATCAGATTAGCTCACAACATCAAGTCAGCCCACAGCATCAGATTAGCTCACAACATCAAGTCAGCCCACAGCATCAAGTCAGCCCACAGCATCAGATTAGCTCACAACATCAAGTCAGCCCACTGCATCAGATTAGCTCACAACATCAAGTCAGCCCACTGCATCAGATTAGCACACAACATCAAGTCAGCCCACTGCATCAAGTCAGCCCACAGCATCAAGTCAGCCCACAGCATCAAGTCAGCCCACAGCATCAGATTAGCTCACAACATCAAGTCAGCCCACAACATCAGATTAGCCCACAGCATCAGATTAGCTCACAACATCAAGTCAGCCCACAGCATCAGATTAGCTCACAACATCAAGTCAGCCCACAGCGTCAGATTAGCTCACAACATCAAGTCAGCCCACGGCATTAAGTCAGCCCACAGCATCAGATTAGCTCACAGCATCAAGTTAGCTCACAGCATCAGATTAGCTCACAGCGTCAAGTCAGCCCACAGCATCAAGTCAGCCCACAACATCAAGTCAGCCCACAGCATCAGATTAGCTCACAGCATCAAGTCAGCCCACAGCATCAAGTCAGCCCACAGCATCAGATTAGCTCACAGCATCAAGTCAGCCCACAGCATCAAGTCAGCCCACAGCATCAGATTAGCTCACAACATCAAGTCAGCCCACAGCATTAGGTCAGACCAGCCCACAAAATCAAGTCAGCCCACAGCATCAGATTAGCCCACATCATCAAGTCAGCCAGTAGATCCAAGTTTTGTCCTGGGTTATGATGACTTCTGTCACACTGAGGGGCTAGTTTCTGAGTCCACTTCCTGTTGTGTGTACGTACACTTTTTCAGAGGTTCCAGATCATTCAGGGGTTCCAGATAGGTTTTTAAGTACACTGAGAATGATTATTAACAGACAACAATTTTGGGTTGCAGTGTTCACTGAGTGAGAATCCAACTGAAAGACACACAGGTACACAAGTACCATCAGGGTAATGAGAGAAAGCCTTGCCTCCAGTGTCTCAAACAGAATAGCTCTATTTGTCTGTGCCATGTCAGAGGTCCTGAGTCATCCGTGTGTACAGGGGGAGAGGAGACCACGTATCTAAAGAGGTGATAGTGAAACAATAACCACTTAACTAATTGGAAAGGATAAAAAATGTTGCAGTGTTAGACATGCAGATCATAGGGTGTTCTATGAATACAGCATTATTCAGAGAATGTTCTATAAATGGAACAATACACTATGTACAGAATTCACTATAAAAATAGTAACACTACTAAAAACAGAACAATAAACATAGTGATATATAAATTCGACAATGCTGCATAGGTTTGACAAACACAACAGCACTGTCTGTCGTGCAGTGCTGTGGTGACTGTTGTTTATTTTTTTTTTTTTTTAAATAGCAATTTACGTTTTTACTTGTAGCAAATATTTACACACATATATATAGTAACACAGTATATGCAGTTACATTTGACCAAAGTAACACAATATTGATCACTGGCGATCATGCAGAGATCCCAACTTTCTGTAGGATCAGTCTCGAGGCAGAATCATGCACTGATTGGACAATGGTGGCTGCCATTTTGGGTCAGGGTTACGCTGGTACATTTGCTTGAAAGTTGTCCGGTCTATAACTTTTCCCGTGCATGTTTTTAATTCTAGATACATTCCTGTGGGAAGATGGCAGATTGTGTCAGGACAATGGTTGTAACATGGAGGTCAAATGTCAAATCAGATGTTGTTTGCAGAGTACAATACAGCTTCTATGTTTTCTGTCAAATTCACACTTACACCTGCTGACACCCTGTTCTAGTGTTCCATACTTCCTTCAGCTCTGACCAAACTTTAGAATGTTTCCCAACTGTGCATACTCCCACAAAACTCTAGTTTACTTCACACCTGCTCATGTTCCCATCCAACTCTAGGGAGCTTCACACCTGCTCCTGTTCCCACCCAACTCTATGGAGCTTCACACCTGCTCCTGTTCCCACCCAACTCTAGGTAGCTTCACACCTGCTCCCGTTCCCACCCAACTCAAGGGAGCTTCACACCTGCTCCTGTTCCCACCCAACTCTAGGGAGCTTCACACCTGCTCCTGTTCCCACCCACCTCTAGGGAGCTTCACACCTGCTCCTACTGCCAGCCAACTCTAGAGAACCCATGTCTCCAGCATTATCCAACATTAGCTACAAGTGATCACTGCTGGTTCCATGCCATGAGGCGCCCACTGGTTCCATGCCATGAGGGGCCCACTGGTTCAATGCCATAAGGGGCCCACACTTGTAGAGTGATCAACCTTGTCTGGTGCTCATGTGCTGGGTGACATAAAGTCAGAAACGAAAACTTGAACTCAGGACCAAGAGAGCATCATCTTGTGCCAGCCACTGAGCTACAAGAGACTGACTGTCCAAGGATACTTACCTAAATTGTTTTTGGGAGGGTTGGCAATGCTGCGGTTCCAGAAGGGCTCCTCCAGGTACACCAGCTCTCTGACTTTCTTTGCAATGGCCTACAGAGAGAAGAGGCCACACTACAGGCAGGGACCAGCTTGAGGCTAAACTATTTCCTTGAATCAGATAAGTTTACAGGAGAGTGCAAGTATGGGACAGGCAAGTTTACAGGAAAGTGCAAGTATGGGACAGACAAGTTTACAGGAAAGTAAGGGTAAGTTTATAGGAGAGGAGAGTACAGGTATGTGACAGATAAGTTTACAGAAGACAGGTAAGTTTACAGTAGACAAGTAAGTTTACAGGTATGTGATGGGTAAGTTTACAGGAGAGTACAGGTATGTGACAGATAAGTTTACAGAAGACAGGTAAGTTTACAGGTATGTGACGGGTAAGTTTATAGGAGAAGACATAAGTTTACAGGAGAGTACAGGTATGTGACATGTAAGTTTATAGGAGAAGATGGACAAGTTTACAGGGGAATGCAGGAATGCAACAGGTAAGTTTACAGGAGAGTACAGGTATGGGACAGGTTAGTTTATAGGATAAGACAGGTAGGTTGTTTACAGGTATAGGAAATCATTTTACAGGAATAAACAAGCAGGATGATTACAAGAAAATACAAGTAGTTGAGAGAGTATTTACAGGCAGATAATGCACAGTTTAAAAAAATGCAGCCAGGTTATAAATAAACTGTCAAGAAGTTTATAAATGAACATACATGAAAATAAAGAGAGTAGAAGATGTATGTAGAAAGAATTAAATAAAGATAAATGGCAGAAAACATGCGTAGACAAACTTTACTTAAGCACAATGAACATCCATCATTAAACTGGCTTAAAAAACAAAAGATTAATTATAATTAATTAGGGCTGTACCGAATATTCACTTCGTATTCGCTTCGGGGCCGAATAGTGGACCTAATAGCTATTCGGTATTCGGCCGAATAGTGGCGGTCGGGCCGAATACGAATAGTGATTTCTGCATACACTGCGATGGACTGAAATAACTCTCATTAACATAATAGTTGCCGTTGCCTAAGTTTGTCCACCGCCTTCTCCAGACTGAGTCGGCCGTGGTCTTTGCCTGCTGACTCGTTTTAGGCATTACAGCAGAGGTTCTCAAACTGGGTGCGTAAGCCAGGGGTGCCGCGGCGAAAATCAAGAAAAGTCAGCTATAAATTGTGACATTATTAAAAAAGGCAAGAAGATACTTAAAAGTTGAAATTCAAATTGTCTTTCCTCGCCATTGTGAAAAAAAAAAATTCTTTTTCTCTCATGTTTCACACTCAAAGTGTATTATACTGCATAAAATGCCAACCGCAGCGTGCTAACCATTGTCTTTGTGTTTATCTCGACATGCGACCGTTTCTCCATCTGTATTCGTGAAGGTGCAGCAGATAAGTAAGCAAATTTATTTAAAGGCAATGCGATTTTTTTTTTTTTTTGCTTGTGTGAGTGTGTGTCTGTGACAAAAAAGAGAGGGAGAGATCATGTATTTTTTCGTTCTTTAAGGGTGTCTTTGCCCAAATCAAATTTGAAGATATCCCTAACAAGAATTTGAAGGTGCGTTTAAATTACGTCGAACGAACGGCGGAGCGAACGATGATTTATATGCGAATTTGGCATATGGATAACATCCGATGGAAGATGCATTACTGAAATAAGAAACAGAAAAGGACAGGTAAAAACTGCATTTTATAAAATGAAGAACATCTTATGCAATGTATCTTTGTCATTGAATGTTAGAAAAAGAATTCTTGCTTGCTGCATAATCCAATTTTAACATATGGTTGTGTCCTGGACAATCAACAGGCAAGCCAAACAATTTCTTGAGGCCTCAGAAATTTGGTTTTACAGAACAATGCTTAAAATAACTTGGACAGCAAAAAAAAAAAAAAAAAGCAACCAAGAGGTTTTGAAAGAGGCGGGAGCCCGAAGACAACTTATCACAGACATCAGAAGGAGACAGTCATCATTTTTCGGCCATTTTATGAGAATAGGGAAAATGGAACATGTGGTGACCACTGGAAAAATCTGTGGATGGAGAGATAAAGAAAGACAACGAGAGAAGATTCTTGACAGTCTTGTTGCATAGCATGGAGGGGTGTTAGCACACGAACTGATACATGCTGCAGGACATCGCAGATTGTGGCGGGGTAAAATCGCCAACGCCAGTCGGCAAGGCACCTGATGATGATGATACACTATCCGTATTCGGCCTATAATTAATACATAAATCCTGTTAATAAACCATACACTCTATTTCATACTCAACGTTAAACATCTGGTGATTTAAAGGAAATGTTAGTTCGTGTGTCATGTGTAGGGTCCATATGCTATGATGTGTAGGGTCCATGTGCTATGATGTGTAGGGTCCATGTGCTATGATGTGTAGGGTCCATGTGCTATGATGTGTAGGGTCCGTGTGCTATGATGTGTAGGGTCCGTGTGCTATGATGTGTAGGGTCCGTGTGCTATGATGTGTAGGGTCCATGTGCTATGATGTGTAGGGTCCATGTGCTATGATGTGTAGGGTCCATGTGCTATGATGTGTAGGGTCCATGTGCTATGATGTGTAGGGTCCATGTGCTATGATGTGTAGGGTCCATGTGCTATGGTGCGTAGGGTCCATGTGCTATGGTGCGTAGGGTCCATGTGCTATGGTGCGAAGGGTCCATGTGCTATGGTGTGTAGGGTCCATGTGCTATGATGTGTAGGGTCCATGTGCTATGGTGTGTAGGGTCCATGTGCTATGGTGTGTAGGGTCCATGTGCTATGATGTGTAGGGTCCATGTGCTATGATGTGTAGGGTCCATGTGCTATGATGTGTAGGGTCCATGTGCTATGGTGTGTAGGGTCCATGTGCTATGGTGTGTAGGGTCCATGTGCTATGATGTGAAGGGTCCATGTGCTATGATGTGTAGGGTCCATGTGCTATGATGTGTAGGGTCCATGTGCTATGATGTGTAGGGTCCATGTGCTATGATGTGTAGGGTCCATGTGCTATGGTGTGTAGGGTCCATGTGCTATGATGTGTAGGCGACTCCATGTGCCATGGTGTGAGTGAGAAGCCCCTGCACCTAAGCCCCTCTAGTTCATAGTTTACCCGTGAGTGGACTTACTTTGATGTGCTCACAATCTGTGAGTGGACTTACTTTGATGTGCTCACAATCTGTGAGTGGACTTATTTTGATGTGCTCACAATCTGTGAGTGGACTTACTTTGATGTGCTCACAATCTGTGATGGGTGTACAACTTTGATGAGCTCACAATCTGTGAGTGGACTTACTTTGATATGTTCAAAATCTGTGATTCCGATTCTGGGGAAAGCAGACGCATGGAGACAGCTGAGCTTCCTGCCGTTAATAAGGTTTGTCAGGATACAAGCCTAGAGATATAGGGGTCACATGTTCATTAGGATACAAGCCTAGTGATATAGTGGTCATATGTTCATTAGGATACAGGCCTAGTAATGTAGGGGTCATATTTATTGGGACACTGGTCTAGAGATACAGGGGTCACATGTTCATTAGGATACAGGCCTAGTGATACAGGGGTCACATGTTCATTAGGATACAGGCCTAGAGATACAGGGGTCACATGTTCATTAGGATACAGGCCTAGAGATACAGGGGTCACATGTTCATTATGATACAGGCCTAGAGATACAGGGGTCACATGTTCATTAGGATACAGGCCTAGTGATACAGGGGTCACATGTTCATTAGGATACAGGCCTAGAGATACAGGGGTCACATGTTCATTAGGATACAGTCCTAGAGATACAGGGGTCACATGTTCATTAGGATACAGGCCTAGAGATACAGGGGTCACATGTTCATTAGGATACAGGTCTAGAGATACAGGGGTCACATATTCATTAGGATACAGGCCTAGAGATACAGGGGTCACATGTTCATTAGGATACAGGCCTAGAGATACAGGGGGTCACATGTTCATTAAGATACAGGCCTAGAGATACAGGGGTCACATGTTCATTAAGATACAGGCCTAGAGATACAGGGGTCACATGTTCATTAGGATACAGGCCTAGAGATATGGGGGTCACATGTTCATTAGGATACAGGCCTAGGAGTTTGAGTGAGAAGTTCATTAGAGCAGTTTTTTCATACTGACACATGATGGCAGATGAACAGAAAAGGTAGACACATACAGACATATGAAGTGATCAGGATTGCCAACATGACATATACACATGAAATCTGATGTTTGTGGAGCAGAGTAGGGTCAACTCTACCAAGAGCAAATGTCAGATGCATCTTTCCCTCCGCTAGCCTGCAGGACACCTCACTGGCAGGAGGAGAGTACCAGTTTAAACTTCTGACCGGTAGTCCTGCAAAGATACTTCTTACAGAATACAATTGTTCAGTGAACTCCCACAGGGCAGGGGAAACTACATCAAAATGTCACTGGTGGGTCTGTTGGCTAATCTAATGCTGACTGTCACAAATGGGATGCAATAATAATCAGTTGTGTAGACTAAACTATAATCAGTTGTGTAGACTAAATTATAATCAGTTGTGTAGAATAAAGTAATAATCAGTTGTGTAGACTAAAGTAATAATCAGTTGTGTAGACTAAAGTAATAATCAGTTGTGTAGACTAAAATAATAATCAGTTGTGTAGACTAAATTATAATCAGTTGTGTAGAATAAAGTAATAATCAGTTGTGTAGACTAAAGTAATAATCAGTTGTGTAGACAAAAGTAATAATCAGTTATGTAGACTAAAATAATAATCAGTTGTGTAGACTAAAATAATAATCAGTTGTGTAGACTAAAGTAAAAATCAGTTGTGTAGACTAAAGTAATAATCAGTTGTGTAGACTAAAGTAATAATCAGTTGTGTAGACTAAAGTAATAATCAGTTGTGTAGACTAAAATAATAATCAGTTGTGTAGACTAAAGTAATAATCAGTTGTGTAGACTAAAGTAATAATCAGTTGTGTAGACTAAAGTAATAATCAGTTGTGTAGACTAAAGTAATAATCAGTTGTGTAGACTAAAGTAATAATCAGTTGTGTAGACTAAAGTAATAATCAGTTGTGTAGACTAAGATATATATCTGCAATAGTACACAGAGGCTGAGAACAGACAACTTTAAATGGAGAGAAAAGTCGAAGGCATAGGTATACAACGATACAAGTGGGAGAATATCAAGAGATAAACTGACGGCAGTATCGAAGAATGTTCGTCGAGCACTAGAGAGCTGATGTTGGAATGTAAGCAGCCGTCTTTCACTGCGGTGACGGCACCTGGCGTGAAATGAATGTTGACTTCTTCTTCTTCTGCGTTCGACATCAGTCATGCTAAACATTGAGTCCCGTCTGGGTCACAAATAGGATTGTGCGTTTTTAAGATCGCCACCGATCCCCCATAGATTCTCTTTCAATGTGGCTCCCTTGGGCCAGATCCAGTCTTTGCTGGGAGAGGTTAGGGCATAGACTGATAGATAGCTGTGTAGTATGTATGTGCCCAGAAAAATGTTGACTGAGAAGATAGTTTCAGTAGATGAAAAAAGAGAATCTGTGATGTCTGCTGTAGTGGCGCTACCTTATACTGTGGGAAGCCCAGCTCCTCGATCCAGTCGGCGACATGCTCCGTTGTCCAGTAGAGAGCAGCCGGCACCCGCTTGTCCTTCAGGTCCTCTACAATGGTGGCCTGCGCCGACGCCATGTTTGTGTTTCCTAGCAACTACCACGTGACCGGAAGCTAAAGGTGGGTATTGTAACTGTAGATGGGAAACAGCAACCAAACACCCTCACTGTAATTAACAAAGCCAGCGCAGAGTTTCAACTACAATGGTACCAGTTAGGTTAGTTCGTATCCTTTACATGACGTTGCAGAACCAACCCTAACAGCCCTTTGCTGTTGTGTGGTTTCTATAGACAAATTAACGCGCAGTAGTTTGCCATTGCTACTGGACGGTCGGCTTTCTTGATACCAGTGTCGAAACCAACGCAAGGCGCGTGGCCCGCAGCTGGGATCGATCCCGGCATTACGAAGCGTTCGCATTGACTTAGCCACAGAACCGACTACAATGGTAGCAGTAGCAGCCTAATTATACATATACAAATAACATCGTCTCTGGGCAAGTGACAATCAATGGAGACGTGTCTGGTTCAGTGACGAATCTTTATTTTTGTTGCAGCATCACGACAGACGGCGTAGGGTCTACTATAAACAAAATAAAGGTTCAGCCCAAATTGTGTCGATAAAGCTCTGCTGCACGGTGGTGGAGGTGTAATGGTAGAGGGAATGATCAGTTACAACGGAAGGAGTCAATAGGTACACACTGGAGGAAGCTTGAATGCGCAACGATACGTCCATGAAATTCGTCAACCCCATATCCTTCCATTTTGGGACGCCAGCAGATATCTTTTTCAACAGGAAAACGTCAGACGCCATTCTGCACAGCTGACCACGCAGTTCCTAGCTGCCAATCAACATTCAAATCCTTTCCAGGCCATTCCTGTCTGCAGACCTGAGTCCGATTGAGCACCTGTGGGATAAGCTGCAAAGACGTGTGTGTCGCCGAAACTCTGCTCCAGCCAATGGTCGTGATCTGTTCCAGGCACTCCAGGAAGAGTGGGCAGCCATCCCACAGGACCACATCAGACATCTGATCGCAACCGGGAAAGGCCACACACCAAACTCACGGGAAAGGCCACACACCATACTCACGGGAAATGCCACACACCACACTCATGGGAAAGGCCACACACCATACTCACGGGAAAGGCCACACACCATACTAACAGGAAAGGCCAACGCTTAAAAACTATCTTTACCCAAATTTTTCAGTGTCGTGTAACTTGTCATGTGCTAAACACTTTGCCGTTCAATTGTACCACAGGTCAGAGACTTGATCGTCTCCGTGCCCAGTCAGTGCCTCTCAGCAGGGTTGCCATATTGGGTTTTTTACGCTAGATTCCACAAATTTGGCGTATTTGAAATTGAGCTGGCTTAAGATGATGAGTGAGCGTATTTTAGCCTATTTGGGGGTTTCTAGCGTTTTTAACAAGACATGCTCATATTTTCTTCAGAGTTCCTCCTGACAAATACGGTAATTTTCTGGAAGCAGTGTAGGCCTGTAGTTAACCCCTTTATTTCAGTTTGTCTTTGTTGTGATGTCCTGGTACGGCTGGTACATGCACTAAACGAAATGTGCGCCATCTCTTAATGTATGAGCATCTGTGTATGAATATGTTGTCTTCCTAAACGGATTGGGACTGTGATAAACTAAGGCCGTCTGTAATTTAAATATAATGAAGTAGGTCATGGATAAACCACTGCCTTCTCTAATATGGTGGAGCTGGCCGTGGATAAACCATTGCATGTTCCCACTGCTTGCAGTAGAGTCACGTGGCCTGGAAGACTTATTTGTGCTAGTGGTGTGAGTTTACTGAGAGAAATTGTTAATCTACTAGAATAAATACGGGATATAAAATCAAAACCCACCAGTGATACCAAGTGATTCAGACTGTTCAGAAACTACTTGAGGATAGAAAATATAGATGATATAGACCTAGCTCTAAATGTGATAGATTTTAATTACTTTTACCAATGGCAAAGTTATTTAAAAAAATGGAAAGCATCTTATGACAGCAATAGCAAGTATAGCAGTAATCTGGAGAAAACATACCCACTGCTCGAAAGATCTTCAGACGAATCAGAGACAGCACATTGTAAACTATCAGTTCACTATCGTAACCAAGAATGAGTAACATAACAAATCATGAAAAATCCTAACAACGGAGCGTGCGTGTGTGCGCGTGTATATGTGTATGTATGTATGTGTGTATGCGAGTGTGGTGTGTGTGTGTGTGCATGTATATATGTGTGTGTAAGTAAGTGGGTGAGCGTGTGTATATGGGTGTGTGTATGCGCGCGCGGATTTTCGCATGCGTTTTATAACCCATGCTTTTGTGTTATTTTATTATATTCATAATATGCATATCATCATATGATCATAACGTGCTTTATTAGTAAAATACAACTGCTGTACGAAAATGGTTGACTGGAAGGGCTGAATGTAAGACGGGCCTGCCTGCCCAGTTTGTGACCCTTTGAAAATAAAATTCGTTCGTTCGTTCCTTCGTTCGTTCTCCAGCATATGACTTATCGATCACCACTCATCTTCGTCGAAACGTGTCGCGTGCATAACAAAGAGAAATACACTATTACAGAGATGACTTTTAGTGTACTGGAGTTGACCTTGTGATTCTAGTGTGTAGGACGTTGTCGATTCGAAAACTTGCTGTATGTAGGAGCGAGGCCTAAACAAAACCCCTAGACACTTGGCAAGCGTGCGATGCTATCGGACAGATGGCACGTAGCATAGCCTCCCCCCTCCCCCCCCCCCCCCCCCCCCCATGATGTGTTTAGTTGTACATCAACATTGTTCGCCGGCTCCCTGTGGACCTCAACCACGTCTTTGTACTGCTGTGGTGCCGAACCAGTCGTGATGTCCGCCTGTTCGTTCTCCAACATACCTGCATTCCGTGGATAGAATATCTAAGGGATCCTAACAGAGACCAAGAAATTTCTTTTGGAGAGTGGGAGGGCCTGAGGCTCTTTATGGTTTTATCGTGTCTTAAGCCCCCCCCCCCCCCCCCCTCCCCTCCTAGCATAGGGTTCCTATGCCTGGAAAATCTCTGAAGCGGTGCTGGCTACTCTGTGGAGTGTATACCTATCTTCGTAAGCCAGAAATAGATGCAGCTGGTTCTCAGGTCAGCGGGAAGCTGCAGTGACTGCCTCAACCTCCATTCTCAAACTAGATGCTTTGGTGACAGACGTGCTGAATAGGAGGGTATCGTTATGTAAATGACCCCACTACTGCTGTTGCTGCTGTTGTGATAAAAGAACAGCTGGTGGAAACTAAAGAGGATGTGCTTCTAGTGTGCTGGTCTTCGATTGGGAGAATACAGACGCACGATTTCCGGTGCCATATTGCATGAGCCGGTCAACACCATGTATACCAGATCTGTGTGGGTTGAGAACAGTATCTTTGACAAGAGTTCCTAGAATGTGTCGTATATGATCTGGAAGACGCTAATTTCCACTAAATTCCATTTCTTCTTCTTCTTTCTTATTTTCTCTGGATCCTTTTCTTATATAGCCAATACTTTTTCTGCAGGAAGGTTTTAGCTTTGTCGCCTCATATAAACAAGATGCAACTGTGGTCAGCTACCAATTGTCTGTTGATATCCACACCATCCAGCTGCGGTGAGTTTTCGACTGTTTTCATATCAAGAGACAAGTTATTGATTGTTCCTTCATGTTTCCACTGGCGGTTTAATCTTAATTCCCGCGCGACGGATCGATGGCTAGGAGGTTCTCGCCAGCTCGTGTCATACACGGCAGCACGTGCGACTGAGTCATCGTCCCTGTGACCTGACCGCAATGTTCGCTGATATCCCCTCACCACCACCTCAAATGTTTGAGCTACACACTGTGTACATATGTGTGTCCCGTGTCGTAAGTGAGCCATTGTAACACACCGATTGTAACTACACGGGCGCGGCTGAGTGCCAGAAAATTAGATCATTTTCTATGCATTATTCATGAGTCACCTCCCCAGCCGCCCAATCAAACGCGGCTACTCCTCGGGTCTGGAACTGCAAGTTTAGATAGACCAGGCCGGGCAGCAGTGCCACCAGAAGGGATATTTGAGTGCTCACCGAAGACTTCTAGTGTCTGTCTGAGGTCTGTCTGAGGTCTGTCTTGACTCAAGTCTCCTAGTGTCCGTTCGAGACTTGTCTAGGTTTTTCCCGCCAGGTGATACCAGTCGAGGAGATAACAATGGTGAGTGTATGTTACATAGTGTTCACGTTACATCATCATTCACTGTGCGTTCCCTATTCTGAAATCGATTCTCCGTCAAATGTTCTCCGCGAGTCTGTAATAATAGTAATAACTGTACTCTCTCATTTCAACATGTGCACTCCCCTATATAAGCTCCGCTTCCCCCCCCCCCCCCTCTTTCCGCCCAGCCCCCCCCCCCCCCCAACTTTTACAATACTCCTGTGGGTTGATGACTCATCAACATTACCACTTTGTGCTTGTGTGTGTGTGTGTGTGTGTGCTTATGTGTGCCTGTGTATGTGTGTCTGTGTGTGCCTGAGTGTGTGTCTGTGCGTGTGTCTGTGTGTGCCTATGCGTGTGTCTGTGTGTGCCTATGCGTGTGTGTGTGTGCTGGTGTGTACGTATGTGTGCCTGTGTGTACGTGTGTGTGCCTGTGTGTACGCGCGTGCATTGCAGTTTATTATTAATGGACACTTTTTCCAATGTACAGAGCAGTCCAGTATGTGTACACTGTATATTCTAGTATGTGTACACTGTATATTCTAGTATTTGTACACTGTATATTCTAGTAATTGTACACTGTAAATTCTAATTTGTGTACACTATATATTCCAGGGTGTGTACATTGTATTTTCCAGTATGTGTACACTGTATATTCTAGTATGTGTACAATGTATTTTCCAGGGTGTACAGTGTATATTCCAGTATGTGTACACTGTGTATTCCAGTATGTGTACACTGTATATTCTAGCATGTGTACACTGTATTTTCCAGGATGTGTACATTGTATATTCCAGAGTGTGTACACTGTATATTCCAGAGTGTGTGCACTGTATATCCGGGGTGGGTTCACTGTATATTCTAGAGTGTGTACACTGTATATTCCACAGTGTGTACACTATGTATTCCAGAGTGTGTATACTGTATATTCTAGAGTGTGTTTGAAGTATATTCCAGGGTGTGTACACTGTATATTCCAGAGTGTGTACACTGTATATTCCAAGTTGTGTACACTATATATATATTTCAGGATATGTACACTGTGTATTTCAGGATGTGTACAGCAAATAATCTAGCAAGCGTTACAGCTGGAGGAACTGTTTAGTGTACAATATACAGTTCAGTGTGTATACAATTCTTCAGTCTGTGTAATCTGTAACTAGCCCAAGAAAGGTCCAGTCAACGTGTTGTTAAATACTGGCATCTCTTTACCTCAGGACATCTCATCCCCTCAGGAAACCTCATCCCCTCAGGACATCTCATCCCCTCAGAAACATCTCATCCCCTCAGAAACATCCCATCCCCTCAGAAACATCTCACCACCTCAGAAACACCTCACCACCTCAGAAACATCTCACCACCTCAGAAACATCTCATCCCCTCAGAAACATCTCATCCCCTCAGAAACATCTCACCCCCTCTGAAACATCTCATCCCCTCAGGACATCTCATCCCCTCAGAACATCTCATCCCCTCAGAAACATCCCATCCCCTCAGAAACATCCCATCCCCTCAGAAACATCTCACCACCTCAGAAACATCTCACCACCTCAGAAACATCTCACCACCTCAGAAACATCTCACCACCTCAGAAACATCTCATCCCCTCAGAAACATCCCATCCCGTCAGGACATCTCGTCCCCTCAGAAACATCTCACCACCTCAGAAACATCTCACCACCTCAGAAACATCTTACCACCTCAGAAACATCTCACCACCTCAGAAACATCCCATCCCCTCAGAAACATCTCACCACCTCAGAAACATCTCACCACCTCAGAAACATCTCACCACCTCAGAAACATCTCACCACCTCAGAAACATCTCACCACCTCAGAAACATCTCACCACCTCAGAAACATCTCATCCCCTCAGAAACATCCCATCCCGTCAGGACATCTCGTCCCCTCAGAAACATCTCACCACCTCAGAAACATCTCACCACCTCAGAAACATCTTACCACCTCAGAAACATCTCACAACCTCAGAAACATCTCACCACATCAGAAACATCTCAACACTTTAGAAACATCTCAACACCTCAGAAACATCTCACCACCTCAGAAAATCTCACCACTCAGAAACATCTCACCACCTCAGAAACATCTCACCACCTCAGAAACATCTCACGACCTCTGAAACATCTCACCACCTCAGAAACATTCCATCCCCTCAGAAACATCCCATCTCCTCAGAAACATCTCACCACCTCAGAAACATCTCACCACCTCAGAAACATCTCACCACATCAGAAACATCTCACCACATCAGAAACATCTTATCCCCTCAGAAACATCTCATCCCCTCAGAAACATCTCATCCCCTCAGAAACATCTCACCACCTCAGAAACATCTCACCACATCAGAAAAATCTCATCCCCTCAGAAACATCTCATCCCCTCAGAAACATCTCATCCCCTCAGAAACATCTCACCACCTCAGAAACATCCCATCCCCTCAGAAACATCTCATCCCCTCAGAAACATCTCATCCCCTCAGAAACATCTCACCACCTCAGAAACATCTCATCCTCTCAGAAACATCCCATCCCCTCAGAAACATCTCACCACCTCAGAAATATCTCACCACCTCAGAAACATCTCATCCCCTCAGAAACATCCCATCCCCTCAGAAACATCTCACCACCTCAAAAATATCTCACCACCTCAGAAACATTTCATCCCCTCAGAAACATCTCATCCCCTCAGAAACATCCTATCCCCTCAGAAACATCTCATCCCCTCAAAAACATCTCATCTCCTCAGAAACATCTCACCACCTCAGAAACATCTTATCCCCTCAGAAACATCTCACCACCTCAGAAACATCTCACCACCTTGGGAAATCTCATCGCCTCATGACATCTCACCATCGCCATGACTTCAGTGACGCCCACAGAAAAGTAACCCTCCAGGGAAGTGAAGAGGGTAAATGTAGAAAAGAAGCTCCGAAAAAGTCCTGGACTTGCAGCATAAATGAAAGAAGTAATGTATTTCTATTACTGAGTGTGTTGCTCAGGCCAGAGAGCTGTGGAGGAGACTGATTACTGACATTCCATTGTTACATCTACAGTGGCAATATTTGACATTTCCATTGTTACATCTACAGTGGCAATAGACGACATTTCCATTGTTACATCTACAGTGGCAATAGTCGACATTTCCATTGTTACATCTACAGTGGCAATAGTCGACATTTCCATTGTTATATCTAGAGTGGAAATAGATGACATTTCCATTGTTACATCTACAGTGGCAATAGACGACATTTCCATTGTTACATCTACAGTGGCAATAGTCGACATTTCCATTGTTACATCTACAGTGGCAATAGTCGACATTTCCATTGTTACATCTACAGTGGCAATAGTCAACATTTCCATTGTTACATCAACAGTGGCAATAGTCGACATTTCCATTGTTACATCTACAGTGGCAATAGTCGACATTTCCATTGTTACATCTAGAGTAGCAATTGACGACATTTCCATTGTTACATCTACAGTGGCAATAAACGACATTTCCATTGTTACATCTACAGTGGCAATAGACGACATTTCCATTGTTACATCTAGAGTGGCAATAGTCGGGCTTATGGTAGGAGATTACGAGGATGTTATACCACATACTTATGGATGTTGATTTTGTGTTTGTAGATTTCCTCTGTTAGAGATGACTTCATGTTTTTGTACTATTCCATGTATGGGAGGTCTGAAAGTTGTGAGGTGAAAGGTCGATATATTGAGAGATGAAAGGTCGATATGTTGAGAGGTGAAAGGTCGATATGTTGAGAGGTAAAAGGTCGATATGTTGAGAGGTGCTCACCAAGAAAGAGGTCTAAACAGCTATTTACTGAATCTATGTTGAACGTTAAGGCCATGTGGAGTTAAAGGTCAAATTCGAGACTAGACGACTTTCTAGAAAACTGTGAGATCTTTGACTAGAAAAACAAAACTTGGTGGTTGTGAATGCCAAATCAACAATGCCCCAGTGTTTCTTGTAATGTTAGGCATCACTGAAATGAGTTGGCACGGATTTGAAGCCCCGTAATAAGAGAATTGCAGAGTTGTCTCCCAGGAAAGTACAAACAAGAATCAATCATTTCTCTTTTCAGCGTGAGTGTATCTCTGTTCATGTTGGCCAGGCTGGCGTGCAGATTGGTAATGGATGCTGGGAGCTGTATTGTCTGGAACATGGCATACAACCAGATGGACAGATGCCCTCTGACAAAACCATCGGAAGTGGAGATGATTCCTTCAACACATTCTTCAGTGAGACGGGAGCTGGCAAACATGTCCCTAGAGCAGTCTTTGTGGATCTGGAACCTACAGTAGTTGGTGAGTGGCTACAGTAGTTGGTGAGTGGCTACAGTAGTTGGTGAGTGGCTACAGTAGTTGGTGAGTGGCTACAGAAGATGATGTGAGGCTATAGTAGTTAATGAGGGGCTACATAGTTGGTGAATGGCTGCAGTAGTTGGTGAGTGGCTATAGTAGTTATTGAGTGGCTATATAGTTATTGAGTGGCTATAGTAGTTATTGAGTGGCTATAGTAGTTAGTGAGTGGCTATAGTAGTTATTGAGTGGCTACATTATTTGGTGTGTGGCTACAATATTTGGTGAGTGGCTACAGTAATTGGTAAGGGGCTACATTAGTTGCTGAGTGGCTACAGTAATGGTGAATGGTTAAATTAGTTGATGAGTGGCTACAGAAGTTGGTGAGTAGCTACAGTAGTTGGTGAATGGCAACAGTAGTTTGTGAGTAGCTACAGTAATTGGTGAATGGCTACAGTAGTTTGTGAGTGGCTACAGTAGGTGGTGAGTGGCTAAATTAGTTGGTGAGTGGCTACAGTAGTTGGCGAGCTGATATGTAGCTACAGTAGCCAATGATTTAATTGTGTAGCCTACATTATGTACCTGTGTAACAATTCAGATGTAAGAAAGTATAAATAACCAGTAAACGTCACTATTTATGTGTGAGTCAAGATCGTGTGTGTAGACATGAACAACTGTGGAACATGCACCATGTCATATGTTTGTCCATAGTTTCAAATAAGGACATGACAATAATAAATGTTTTACCTTGACAGATGAAGTTCGTTTAGGAACCTATCGTCAGCTGTTTCATCCAGAGCAGCTGATTACTGGCAAGGAGGATGCTGCAAACAACTACGCTCGTGGTCACTACACTATAGGCAAGGAGCTCGTTGACCTGGTGCTTGACCGCATCAGAAAACTTGCTGACCAGTGCTCTGGCCTTCAGGGATTTCTGATCTTCCACTCGTTTGGTGGAGGCACGGGGTCCGGGTTTACCTCCCTTCTCATGGAGAGACTGAGCGTTGACTATGGCAAGAAATCCAAGTTGGAGTTTTCTGTCTATCCTGCCCCACAGGTACAGTTACTGTTGTCTGTCTATCCTGCCCCACAGGTACAGTCACTGTTGTCTGTCTCTCCTGCTCCACAGGTACAGTCACTGTTGTCTGTCTATCCTGGTCCACAGGTACAGTCACTGTTGTCTGTCTATCCTGCCCCACAGGTACAGTCACTGTTGTCTGTCTATCCTGGTCCACAGGTACAGTCACTGTTGTCTGTCTATCCTGCCCCACCGGTACAGTCACTGTTGTCTGTCTATCCTGGTCCACAGGTACAGTTACTGTTGTCTGTCTATCCTGCCCCACAGGTACAGTCACTGTTGTCTGTCTATCCTGGTCCACAGGTACAGTCACTGTTGTCTGTCTATCCTGGTCCACAGGTACAGTTACTGTTGTCTGTCTATCCTGCTCCACAGGTACAGTCACTGTTGTCTGTCTATCCTGCTCCACAGGTACAGTCACTGTTGTCTGTCTATCCTGCTCCACAGCTAGTCATTTTCAGTCTAGACTAAATAACACAACTAGTCAATTTCACACAAACATTGATTTTTTCTTGCTGTAATATTGAACATATTTATATCATTCAGTTCTATGGTTATCAAATCTCCTTAAATGTCGCTCGCTAAGGCTTATTATTTAAAGGGAATATTTGCAATTAAATCACTGCCAGGTTTCTTGTTAAAAAAAAGAACATGTTTATATCCAGCATTCCTGTACACACAACAATGTGGTCATTGACCTTTCAGGTATCCACAGCTGTAGTGGAACCCTACAACTCCATCCTGACCACCCACACCACACTGGAACACTCCGACTGTGCCTTTATGGTGGACAATGAGGCCATCTATGACATCTGCCGTCGCAACCTGGACATTGATCGGCCCTCATACACCAATCTCAATCGCTTGATAGGCCAGATTGTCTCTTCCATTACTGCCTCACTCAGATTTGATGGTGCCCTCAACGTCGATCTCACAGAGTTCCAGACCAACTTAGTGCCCTATCCACGGATCCATTTCCCCCTGGCCACCTACGCTCCAGTCATTTCTGCTGAAAAAGTGAGTTTTTTATTTATTGTCAAAATAATTGTCACATGCTGTTTCCAGTTGTCACACTGTATTGAGCTAGTGGTTGTTGTGTCCAGTTGTCACACTGTATTGAGCTAGTGGTTGTTGTGTCCAGTTGTCACACTGTATTGAGCTAGTGGTTGTTGTGTCCAGTTGTCACACTGTATTGAGCTAGTGGTTGTTGTGTCTAGTTGTCACACTGTATTGAGCTAGTGGTTGTTGTGTCCAGTTGTCACACTGTATTGAGCTAGTGGTTGTTGTGTCCAGTTGTCACACTGTATTGAGCTAGTGGTTGTTGTGTCCAGTTAGGCACTTGTTTTCCTGGCCACAAAACGACCATTGATTGTGTGTCCATCATGGACTGGCTTGGGACATTCACAATGTTGACATGAGTAGATACATGTGAGGTAAACACAAAAGAATCCTGATGCACACACAAACAGGACTGCAGGTGACACCTGGCTGTGTGGTTGTTACCTGGAGGTTGAGAAGAGTGTCTGGGCTGGGTCTCTTGGCTGCCATCAACATTGAGATTATTTGGCCTGACAATATCAGACCTCCAGGTCCTGTAGGGGTTCTGTAGGGGTTCTGTAGGGGTTCTGTAGAGGTCCTGTAGGGGTTCTGTAGAGGTCCTGTAGGAGTTCTGTAGGGGTCCTTAGGGGTTCTGTAGGGGTTCTGTAAAGGTCCTGTAGAGGTCCTGTAGGGGTCTTGTAGGGGTCCTGTAGGGGTCTTGTAGGGGTTCTGTAGGGGTCCTGTAGGGGTTCTGTAGGGGTCCTCTAGAAGTCCTGTAGGGGTTTTGTAGAGGTCCAGTAGGGGTTCTGTAGGGGTCCTCTAGAAGTCCTGTAGGGGTCCTGTAGGGGTTCTGTAGGGGTCCTCTAGAAGTCCTGTAGGGGTCCTGTAGGGGTTTTGTAGAGGTCCTGTAGGGGTTCTGTAGGGGTCCTCTAGAAGTCCTGTAGGGGTCCTGTAGGGGTCTTGGAAGATATTCACAACTGAGGGTGAAACAGGTGGACATTAAATCAGGTTGCAACTGGTACAGTTAGCATGTCGACTCAGCACTGGGTACTGAACATGTGGACTCAGCACTGGGTACTGAACATGTCGACTTAGCACTGGGTACTGAACATGTGGACTCAGCACTGGGTACTGAACAAGTGGACTCAGCACTAGGTACTGAACATGTGGACTCAGCACTGGGTACTGAACATGTGGACTCAGCACTGGGTACTGAACATGTGGACTCAGCACTGGGTACTGAACAAGTGGACTCAGCACTGGGTACTGAACAAGTCGACTCAGCACTGGGTACTGAACAAGTTGACTCAGCACTGGGTACTGAACAAGTGGACTCAGCACTGGGTACTGAACATGTGGACTCAGCACTGGGTACTGAACAAGTGGACTCAGCACTGGGTACTGAACAAGTGGACGGAGCACAAGTAGTAATGCCCCAGATACAGTGATGTCAGTTCTTGTCTCATTCATTCATTCATTCATTCATTCATTCATTCATTCATTCATTCATTCATTCATTCATTCCTTCATTCATTCATTCATTCATTCATTCATTCAAACATGTTATGTCACCACACAGGCCTACCATGAGCAGCTGACTGTGGCTGAGATCACTACTGCTTGCTTTGAGCCAGCCAACCAGCTGGTCAAGTGTGACCCCAGGCACGGCAAGTACATGGCCTGCTGTATGTTATATCGTGGCGATGTTGTACCCAAGGATGTCAATGCTGCCATAGCAACCATCAAGACCAAACGCACAATTCAATTTGTTGACTGGTGTCCAACTGGCTTCAAGGTATTTGTTGACTGCTGCCTCCATATGTGTTAATGTCCTTGTTGGTTGTTGCCTCCACATGTGTCAATGTCCTTGCTGGTTGTTGTCTCAACATGTGTTAATGTCCTTGTTGGTTGTTGCCTCAACATGTTTCAATGTCCTTGTTATTTGTTGCCTCAACATGTGTCAATGTTCTTTCTGGTTGTTGCCTCAACCTGTGTCAATGTCCTTGTTGGTTGTTGTCTCAACATGTGTCAATGTCCTTGTTATTTGTTGCCTCAACATGTGTCAATGTCCTTGTTGGTTGTTGTCTCAACATGTGTTAATGTCCTTGTTGGTTGTTGCCTCAACATGTGTCAATGTCCTTGTTATTTGTTGCCTCAACATGTGTCAATGTCCTTGTTGGTTGTTGTCTCAACGTGTGTCAATGTCCTTGTTATTTGTTGCCTCAACATGTGTCAATGTTCTTCCTGGTTGTTGCCTCAACCTGTATCAATGTCCTTGTTGGTTGTTGTCTCAACATGTGTTAATGTCCTTGTTGGTTGTTGCCTCAACCTGTGTCAATGTCCTTGTTATTTGTTGCCTCAACATGTGTTAATGTCCTTGTTGGTTGTTGCCTCAACATGTGTTAATGTCCTTGTTGGTTGTTGTCTCAACATGTGTCAATGTTCTTCCTGGTTGTTGCCTCAACCTGTGTCAATGTCCTTGTTGGTTGTTGTCTCAACCTGTTGTAATGTCCTTGTTGGTTGTTGCCTCAACATGTGTCAATGTCCTTGTTGGTTGTTGTCTCAACCTGTGGTAATGTCCTTGTTGGTTGTTGTCTCAACCTGTGGTAATGTCCTTGTTGGTTGTTGCCTCAACATGTGTCAATGTCCTTGTTGGTTGTTATTTCAACCTGTGTCAATGTCCTTGTTGGTTGTTGTCTCAACCTGTGGTAATGTCCTTGTTGATTGTTGTCTCAACCTGTGGTAATGTCCTTGTTGGTTGTTTCCTCCACATGTGTCAATGTCCTCGCTGGTTGTTGCCTCAACATGTGGTAATGTCCTTGTTGGTTGTTGCCTCAACATGTGTCAATGTCCTTGTTGGTTGTTGTCTCAACATGCGTCAATGTCCTTGTTGGTTGTTGTCTCAACATGTGTCAATGTCCTTGTTGGTTGTTGCCTCAACATGTGTCAATGTCCTTGTTGGTTGTTGCCTCAACATGTGTCAATGTCCTTGTTGGTTGTTGCCTCAACATGTGTCAATGTCATTGCTGGTTGTTGCCTCAACATGTGTCAATGTTCTTGTTGGTTGTTGTCTCAACATGTGTCAATGTCCTTGTTGGTTGTTGTCTCAACATGTGTCAATGTCATTGCTGGTTGTTGCCTCAACATGTGTAAATGTCCTTGTTGGTTGTTGTCTCAACATGTGTCAATGTCATTGCTGGTTGTTGTCTCAACATGTGTCAATGTCATTGCTGGTTGTTGTCTCAACATGTGTCAATGTCATTGCTGGTTGTTGTCTCAACATGTGTCAATGTCATTGCTGGTTGTTGTCTCAACATGTGTCAATGTCATTGCTGGTTGTTGTCTCAACATGTGTCAATGTCATTGCTGGTTGTTGTCTCAACATGTGTCAATGTCATTGCTGGTTGTTGTCTCAACATGTGTCAATGTCATTGCTGGTTGTTGTCTCAACATGTGTCAATGTCATTGCTGGTTGTTGTCTCAACATGTGTCAATGTCATTGCTGGTTGTTGTCTCAACATGTGTCAATGTCCTTGTTGATTGTTGCCTCAACATGTGTCAATGTCATTGCTGGTTGTTGCCTCAACATGTGTCAATGTCCTTGTTGGTTGTTGTCTCAACATGTGTCAATGTTCTTGTTGGTTGTTGCCTCAACATGTGTCAATGTCCTTGTTGGTTGTTGTCTCAACATGTGTAAATGTCCTTGTTGGTTGTTGCCTCAACATGTGTCAATGTTCTTGTTGGTTGTTGCCTCAACATGTGTCAATGTCCTTGTTGGTTGTTGCCTCCACATGTGTCAATGTCCTTGTTGGTTGTTGCCTCCACATGTGTCAATGTCCTTGTTGGTTGTTGCCTCAACATGTGTCAATGTCCTTGTTGGTTGTTGCCTCCACATGTGTCAATTTCCTTGCTGGTTTCATGTGTGTACATGTCCATGTTGATCGGTATCTCTTCATGTGTGTACATGTCCATGTTGATCAGTATCTCTTCATGTGTGTACATGTCCATGTTGATCAGTATCTCTTCATCTGTGTACATGTCCATGTTGATCAGTATCTCTTCATGTGTGTACATGTCCATGTTTTTGTGACTGTCCTGTTTGTGATCTGTCCTCTTGTTATTTCACTTTGTGTTCACCAATAGTAAACTCCAGCAGAAAATTATGGTTGTTTGTCCACTAATCACCCCAGATTTTACAGCATGCTTGTTGAGGGGGGGGGGGCAGGGTCCAGCCGTGTTTCATAGTGAGTGGGGACCTGGAACGCAGATCAGAAGCAGTTAGCCTTTTCTTTTTTTTTTTTTGTAGAGGCAGATTTGGGCAAGTGTAACATAGTTCAGGTCAGATATAGGCAAGTGTAACGTAGTTCAGGTCAGATTTAGGCAAGTGTAATGTAGTTCATGTCAGATATAGGCAAGTGTAACATAGTTCAGGTCAGATATAGGCAATTGTAACATAGTTCAGGTCAGATAAAGGCAAGTGTAATGTAGTTCAGGTCAGATATAGGCAAGTGTAACATAGTTCAGGTCAGATATAGGCAAGTGTAATGTAGTTCAGGTCAGATATAGGCAAGTGTAATGTAGTTCAGGTCAGATATAGGCAAGTGTAACATATTTCAGGTCAGATATAGGCAAGTGTAACATAGTTCAGGTCAGATATAGGCAATTGTAACATAGTTCAGGTCAGATATAGGCAAGTGTAACATAGTTCAGGTAATATATAGGCAATTGTAACATAGTACAGGTCAGATAAAGGCAAGTGTAATGTAGTTCAGGTCAGATATAGGCAAGTGTAACATAGTTCAGGTCAGATATAGGCAAGTGTAATGTAGTTCAGGTCAGATAAAGGCAAGTGTAATGTAGTTCAGGTCACATATAGGCAAGTGTAATGCAGTTCAGGTCAGATTTAGGCAAGTGTAATGTAGTTCAGGTCATATATAGGCAAGTGTAATGTAGTTCAGGTCATGTATAGGCAAGTGTAATGTAGTTCAGGTCATGTATAGGCAAGTGTAATGTAGTTCAGGTCATATATAGGCAAGTGTAACATAGTTCAGGTCAGATATAGGCAATTGTAACATAGTTCAGGTCAGATAAAGGCAAGTGTAATGTAGTTCAGGTCAGATATAGGCAAGTGTAACATAGTTCAGGTCAGATATAGGCAAGTGTAATGTAGTTCAGGTCAGATATAGGCAAGTGTAATGTAGTTCAGGTCAGATATAGGCAACATAGTTCAGGTCAGATATAGGCAAGTGTAATGTAGTTCAGGTCAGATAAAGGCAAGTGTAATGTAGTTCAGGTCAGATATAGGCAAGTGTAACATAGTTCAGGTCAGATATAGGCAAGTGTAATGTAGTTCAGGTCAGATATAGGCAAGTGTAATGTAGTTCAGGTCAGATATAGGCAAGTGTAACATAGTTCAGGTCAGATATAGGCAGGTGTAACATAGTTCAGGTCAGATATAGGCAATTGTAACATAGTTCAGGTCAGATATAGGCAAGTGTAACATAGTTCAGGTAATATATAGGCAATTGTAACATAGTACAGGTCAGATAAAGGCAAGTGTAATGTAGTTCAGGTCAGATATAGGCAAGTGTAACATAGTTCAGGTCAGATATAGGCAAGTGTAATGTAGTTCAGGTCAGATAAAGGCAAGTGTAATGTAGTTCAGGTCACATAAAGGCAAGTGTAATGTAGTTCAGGTCAGATATAGGCAAGTGTAATGTAGTTCAGGTCAGATTTAGGCAAGTGTAATGTAGTTCAGGTCATGTATAGGCAAGTGTAATGTAGTTCAGGTCATATATAGGCAAGTGTAACATAGTTCAGGTCAGATATAGGCAATTGTAACATAGTTCAGGTCAGATAAAGGCAAGTGTAATGTAGTTCAGGTCAGATATAGGCAAGTGTAACATAGTTCAGGTCAGATATAGGCAAGTGTAATGTAGTTCAGGTCAGATATAGGCAAGTGTAATGTAGTTCAGGTCAGATATAGGCAACATAGTTCAGGTCAGATATAGGCAAGTGTAATGTAGTTCAGGTCAGATAAAGGCAAGTGTAATGTAGTTCAGGTCACATATAGGCAAGTGTAATGTAGTTCAGGTCAGATTTAGGCAAGTGTAATGTAGTTCAGGTCAAATAAAGGCAAGTGTAATGTAGTTCAGGTCAGATATAGGCAAGTGTAATGTAGTTCAGGTCAGATATGGGCAAGTGTAATGTAGTTCAGGTCATATATAGGCAAGTGTAATGTAGTTCAGGTCATGTATAGGCAAGTGTAATGTAGTTCAGGTCAAATAAAGGCAAGTGTAATGTAGTTCAGGTCAGATATAGGCAAGTGTAACATAGTTCAGTTCAGTCAGATATAGGCAAGTGTAACATATTTCATGGTGGCTGCAGTTGTACTGGACATGGATACAAGGCGGGCACATACATGCACACATGCACACACATAGTAAATAATATGTTTTTGTAAAGATGTCTATGCTACAACTGATGAACTTTACTGAAAACACATCTGTGTTGTGTAGATATATCTGTACTACAATTTATGAACGTTACTCAAGTCAAATCCATGCTTTGCTGCTTAACTCAAACTCTTTTCCCCAACAGGTAGGCATCAACTACCAGCCCCCAACTGTAGTTCCTGGTGGTGACCTGGCCAAGGTGCAGCGGGCTGTCTGCATGTTAAGTAACACCACAGCCATTGCTGAAGCTTGGGCCAGGCTGGACCATAAGTTCGATCTCATGTATGCCAAGAGGGCCTTCGTGCACTGGTAAGTAGAGAACACCACCAGCTTCATGTTTGTCTTGCGATGACCAGAGAGGCTTGTCCAGTGTCCTCCTTTGTCATTGTCTAATAAGTTAGATTCTGATGCTCTACCTTGACTTCAAATAGTCTGATTTTGGAGGTTATGGCAGAGACCAAAGCCATAGCATTGCTGAAGATGCAGACGTTCAACCGTGCATGTTTTCTCAGCAACTGGATCAGCTAATGCAGAATAATAGAGATAGGCTGGGCCTCGAGACAGTGGACAAAGCAACCCAGCAGAGAAAGATTAGTTACATTTTTATGCCAGCACATGCAGGTGTACCAAGAAATAAGGGCTGAATACTCCTTGAGAAGCAAGGCATCTATGAACTTAGTAGTGGCAGTGAATCTGTAACAATGAACAGATGGCCAGAACAGCAAGTGAAACACCATGAGTCCAGACTGTGAGACCAGCAAATGAAAAGTTGTGAGTCCAGACAGCAATAACAGCAAGTGAAATGTTGTCATGTGAGTCATGACAGCAATAACAGCAAGTGAAATGTTGTGATATGAGTCCAGACAGCAATAACAGCAAGTGAAATGTTGTCATGTGAGTCATGACAGCAAGGGAAATGTTGTGATGTGAGTCCAGAGAGGAGTGAAATGTTGTGATGAGAGTCCAGACAGCAAGAACAGCAAGTGAAATGTTGTGATATGAGTCCAGACAGCAATAACAGTAGGTAAAAAGGCGTGAGTCCAGACTACAAGAACAGCAAGTGAAACTTGCTTTCTTATTTCTCATTGTAACTGGGAGAGTGTTTTTTATTTCTTTAAGTATGTGCTACAAAGTACAGCCTTTTTTTATTTTTCTAGTACAAGGTAAATTGTACTGTGCAGCGTAATTAGGTTGTAATATGTGACCCATGCTAACTATCAAAAGAACTGGTTCCACCACTCCACCAACTCCCACACCCTGTTGAAAAAAAAAATTCATTTGCTCTAGAAAATTCTGAAAAGAGACGAGTAAGATAATCAGCAGATGTATACTGGGACATTAATGGGTTTAGGAAATTAGGGTGGCCAAGAACTTAAAGACGTAAGTTTATGGTTTGCTTTCTGCTTCTGGAGTTTCTACCACATAGACGGCACTGATGGAGACCAAGATGAAGTAGAGCTAAGGAGAATAAAACTTTCTTTCATGATCCTGGGTGAAGCCGCATAGTTAAATCTATTTACTTATAATTGTTAAACATGTCGACATGTAGGTAATATAGGTAATATACCATCCAAGCAACAACTGTCTGTTCTGCAGTTGTTACTTTTGTCAGTGAGTAAATATAAACAAGTATATGTTGACTTCCAGGTATGTTGGGGAAGGAATGGAGGAAGGAGAATTCTCGGAAGCTCGTGAAGATCTTGCTGCATTAGAGAAGGACTACGAGGAGGTTGGTGTCGACTCGGCTGAACCTGAGACAGGTGGAGACGAAGGAGAAGAGTACTGATTCAATAGTTTATTTCAGTCAACCAAACTGGCAAATCAAATGTTTGATTACTTGTCTTTCTGCTGTTTGTTCTCAGCTTTCATGTAACATATTTCATTTTTTTCTTTAGTATCCAGAAGCCATGATTTGTTAACCCCTCAGTATTATGGATATCGCAACCCTTCGGCCTTGATTCCATGATAAATACTGTAAATCTGGGAGAAATGTGGCTTTTCTGCCTACCCCCGGGCGTGAACCCGGACCACAAGGCGTTGGTCACCTGGTCACCACGCAATTTGGTTTGGCCAACAATGCTAGCGAGCCGGGCACATATTTCATAGATTGTGTCAGACACCGGGTAGATTGTGTCAGACACCAGGTAGATAGTGTCGGACACCGGATAGACTGTGTCAGACACTAGATAGATTGTGTCAGACACCGGGTAGATTGTGTCAGACACCAGGAAGACTGTGTCAGACACCAGGTAGATAGTGTCAGACACCGGATGGAATGTGTCAGACACCGGGTAGATTGTGTTAGACAAAGGGTGGATTGTGTCAGACACCGGGTAGATTGTTTCAGACACCGGATGGAATGTGTCAGACACCGGGTAGATTGTGTTAGACATGGGGTGGATTGTGTCAGACACCGGGTAGATTGTATCAGACACCAGATGGAATGTGTCAGACACCGGGTAGATTGTATCAGACACCAGGTAGATTGTGTCAGACACCAGGTGGATTGTGTCAGACACCAGATAGATAGTATCAGACACTGGACAGATCATGTCAGACACCCAGACACCAGGTAGATTGTGTCAGACACCAGGTGGATTGTGTCAGACACCGGGTAGATAGTATCAGACACTGGACAGATCATGTCAGACACCGGGTAGACTGTGTTAGACACCAGGAAGACTGTGTCAGACATCGGGTATATAGTGTCAGACACCAGGTAGATAGTGTCAGACACTGGAGGGAATGTGTCAGACACCAGATGGATTGTGTCAGACACCGGGTAGACTGTGTCAGACACCGGGTAGATTGTATCAGACACTGGATGGAATGTGTCAGACACCGGGTAGATTGTGTCAGACACCGGGTAGATAGTGTCAGACACTGGATGGAATGTGTCAGACACCAGATAGATTGTGTCAGACACCGGGTAGACTGTGTCAGACACCGGGTAGATTGTATCAGACACTGGATGGAATGTGTCAGACACCGGGTAGATTGTGTCAGACACTGGGTAGATAGTGTCAGACACCAGGTAGATTGTATCAGACACCGGATGGAATGTGTCAGACACCGGATGGAATGTGTCAGACACCGGGTAGATTGTGTCAGACACTGGGTAGATAGTGTCAGACACTGGACAGATCATGTTAGACATAAGGCTAATATGAATAAACTACCATAATGTGTGTCAGTTAAAAAAAAAAATAAAGATGGGGGTTGGCTCACACCTAACTGTCAGTGTATGAGTTGCCAAAATGTTATGTTCTGATTTGCTTCTAAGATAATCTGCATTTGTTTTTTGCCAAAGATTCAAAGCTTTATTGTTGACAGCAGAAAGACCACATTTATCTATTGCTTCAAGTCCATGTTTTATTGCTTCCTGCAAACAGGTGCATTTATGGATTGTTAAAACTTGAATATGTAATTGTTTTTTATGACAAATTTTGTTTATTTCTGGTTTTTATCATATTTGTAACTTGTATTTACAAATGTATAGGCCTCTCTCCAAGGAAACAACATGGCTTCTTATGAGGCTGTATTTCATAACTTAATTTATACAGATTGTAATTCTTTTGGAGGCGGAGCTAGATGTAGATTGTCACATGGAAATGGAGCTAGGCATCAATTGTAACCATGGAAACGGATCTAGATGGAAAAATATCTAGGAATGACAATTGCATCAGTCACAATTATTATTGTGTCCATGTACACGTTGAAACACGCTGCAGGCACAACAGACGTGTTGATTTTGTCAATTGTTGGTCATTTATTGAGAGGTTAAAAATCAAAAATTTTTCTGAGGACATGAATTTTCAAACAGTAGTGGCCAATTCTGTGAAAAGTATCAGAAGTTTTCACTTGTTCCCTCAGCTTCATGTCCTTGGTTTTTTGGTGACTGAGAGAGATTCATGGCTCAATGTTTGTACACAAGATTTTCTGGCTTAGCTAATGACTTCTGTGTTGTATTGATTTGATTTGATTTAATTCTGTGTTGTATGTAAAGGGTTAGTACACCAACAATTTCATCAAGTGGTGTTGCATTTTACATGTCCATAAATACTAGTCTAAAGGGTGACATTACATAACAGTAACTCCCTTTGGCTGGTAAAGTCCAGACTAACATTAACATATGAGTGAATTTTACTTGCTGTTTGAGCCAAGGCTGTTACATATTAGTGACTTTCATTGGCTGTTTAAACCAAGACTGTTACATACTAGTGACTGTCATTGGTTGTTTAAATTAAGATTATTCAACATTAGTGACTGTCATTGGCTGTTTGAGCCAAGACTGTTAAATATTAGTGACTTTCAATGGCTGTTTGAGCCAAGACTGTTAAATATTAGTGACTTTCATTGGCTGTTTGAGCCAAGACTGTTACATATTAGTGACTTTCATTGGCTGTTTAAATTAAGCCTATTAAACATTAGTGACTTTCATTGGCTGTTTGAGCCAAGACTTTTATAAATTAGTGAATTAGTGACTTTCATTGGTTGTTTAGATTACGACTATTAAACATTAGTGACTTTCTTTGGCTGTTCGAGCCAAAACTGTTACATATTAGTGACTTTCTTTGGCTGTGTGAGCCAAGACTGTTATAAATTAGTGACTTTCATTTGCTGTTTGACCCAAGACTGTTCACATTAGTGACTTTCACTAATTAGGTGTATGCTGCTTCAATGTTTTTACTTTTATATTTCTCATTCTCATCTGCCAGAATGGACAGTTTATTTTTTACCAGTGTCCGCCCTGTTTAGTGTCCAGTCAATGTTTGCAACAAAAACTGTTGTGAATCAATGTTTGCAACAGCAACTGTTGTGTTATCAATGTGCCATTAAACATTTGCAGTCACTATTTCAGTGTCAGACATTTCTTTGTGGTATGGTTGTTGTGGTTTAGTTGTAGATGTTGTTATATTTTAGATGTAGTTATTGTGTTACAGTTGTTTATGTGGATTTTGATTACTCTTTAGAAACACTAGATATGTTTGCCCAGTGTGAGAATAAGGTATATCAACCAATACAGGGACAGACGTCTGCCTGCTGCTTCCAAAATATTGCAAAGGTACAAAAATGACCAGCAGCTAACACATAAGACCAGTTGCAGCCATATAAACAAGAACAAACTTGAATAAAAGGAAGACCAAAAAAAAAAATATTAAAAGGTGCCCAGTTCTTCAAATTCACTGAATTAAAAAAAAAAACAGCAATACAAAGCCACAGAAAACTTCAGCTCATCAAGCTTCGATCTTTTCTGAATCTCGGCAGACCCGGCAGAATGTTGAACTAGTGGATGCCAGGTCACTGCAGCTTTACGGGAAATGTAGGAGCAAACTATTTAGCAACAATTTGAAGTGTAGCCAGAAATCTAGATCTAATGTTAAAGTCGAGAGTATAGACTTCATTGCCCCCAGTTTGATCCCATATAACTCGGTCCCTCTCCGCTGAGCGGCTAGCCGCCTTTCGAAAGCATCGCATGAAGTACGAACTCCGTTGCTCCGGCGACGATCCCCATGGATCTCCGTAAACATTGCAATCGTGAACTGAACGGCTCCAACGTGAAACGAACCCACGTCCTTTACAGCGCGAGGCAAACGGCTCGACCACTTCGCCAAGGAGACAGGCGATCCAAGACTGTTTTGAGCGATCACTACAATATCGCTGCCGGTGACATTGTCCGTACTAGCCCCGACATATGTTTGTCTCTTATTCTGTGTCAGTTACAATGACGACATGTGTGTACAGCTGATTCTCAAGCCAACGGAAGAAAGAAGTGACTGCCTCCACCTCCATTCTCAAACTAGACGTTGTGGTATTATATGCCAGGCTTTGTTGCGCCAAGTGACGTCCATTAGCCTTCGCTATAAACCCCCGTGTACTTGGTCTGCCCCTCACCACAGAGCCATCTGTATATACAATCACATCGCCTTGGCGGGAATTGTCATGAATCATTTGTTGAACTTCTGATTCTACAGCACCAGCTGACCAGTCCCTGCACTCTCGTCCCAAAGTGATTAGAACCCTACACAAGTCTGAAACATGATCGGACACTTTGACCCACTCCTCTCCTCGCCTAAATTTATCAAGCCTGCACACATGTCCAACTGTGTCTTCAGCTTGCGCCATCTAAGACTGCTCTTTTCAGTCTGTGACCCTTAGCTCTATCTAGGGCTTCGTGCAGGAGGAGCCTCTAATCCGCAGCTACTCTGAAAAATGACTTTGCTTACAGAACTTGGAGCTTATCTGCAACAGTAGGCAGTGCAAGTATATATCGCATACATACTACCGGGCTATCTCTCGTACATCCCAGAATCACCCGCATGGCTTTATTCTGTATGCTTTCAAGTTTCATCAGCTGACTCTTTGATATGGTAAGCATGCCAAGTCCATAATCTGTCACCGACAGGATCACATGCTGGAACATTGTGAACAACATTCTTTGTTCCATGTCCATTGCTGTCATAATCTTGAGAGCACTGAGTTCTTTTTGGCATTTCACTGCACCTGCATCCACGTGATCCCTGAAGGACAGGCTTCTATCAAAAATGATACCCAGGTATCTCAGTTTGCTTTCTCGTTTGATGTTACTCTTATGAACTGTGAGGTTTGGAACGCCAGCTTTTTCAATTCTATTGTCCAGAGAACACCACAAAACAGCTGCCTTTTCTCAGTTGATGAGGCACCATTTTCGGCACACCAGTCAGTCACTTTGTCCACAGTTTCTTGTAGCTCGTGAGCTATCCGTCGCCTATCTCTCCCTTGATTTCAGTTCACTGTTGCACCAAG